TATACTATATATATAATATATAAATTGTATGTATTATTAACATAGGCACTAGTTTAAACAAAAAAAACCTTTAAATCTACCTCAAGGCAGTTTCTATCCACTGTAACTTCCATCAAGCATTTCCCGCTGTTGGCAGAAGATGAATACAGACCCTGACTCGGTCGGCCAAACAGATCTTCTTTCCGAGCGTTTGGCTGAAAATTAACAAAAGCATTCTGGGTAAATAATATACTTCAGTTAGAAATGAGAAAGCAGACTGCAGTTTTCTTCTAGAACACCATCTCTGATGTCACCTGTAGTAGATGAGGCTGGTCTGCCAGCGGGATGGCCTCTGCCAGAGGAACCTCAAAAGGATTGGGGGGAATGCAGCCGAGGAACGTCATGGAGTCCGATCGTCTGAAAAACGGATGGTTTTGGCCAGTCTCTGCTGGGAGGGAATCATCGTCTTTGTCATTGAGAGCAGCACCTACGTATCAGAGAAAACTCCAGTTGAATTTTCAGTTACAAGGGCAAATGATTCTAAATACCAAAAATTAATATGCTTCCCTCTTAGCTATCTGACTGGAGGAGCATCTCTGCAAGTTTACTACTTCTACAGGACGCTTCCACAAATCCTGTATTTTTATTAAGTTGCTTAGTCACCAATTTTATTCTTTTTACTGTAACAAAGTTTTCTGAACATGCACTCCTACATTACATGTACTTAGTATAGAGTATACATTCTACCATTTTCGGCAGCAGTTTGTTCAGACTAAAAGAATTAGTTGAACTCTAATTCAAATTTTAAATTCTGTCATTGTGTAAAATGGTAAGTTAAGGCACAAGTTCTGCAGTTTAGAGAGAAAGGAGGCAAAAAAGAGGGCCCTGAAATGAGAACGGGCAGTGGCACAAGAAAATTGGTAAAGTAACAACGGAAAGAAAAACCTTACTAAACCCCAACTGTAATGTAACATATACAAGCAGCAAAACTTATTCTGTCTCAGAGAGCTATAAGGTGAGAAAAACACTAATGAAGTGTCACGCTTTGGCATACAATAGAAGTGTTTCTTTATACTAACTTTGATTGGTGTCATCATCATTTTCATGTTCTGAATCTTCATTGTCAAGACCCAGTTCCAAAAGTTCCCGTGTTCTTAAAGAAAAAAGAGAAAGTCAATCCCCTTGAACAAAACGTTAGTCAAAACATTTCTATCTACAGCACTCAAGTGTGCTGAGAGCTATACACAACAAGAACGAATTCACTCTAAAATCTAAGTACTGTAGAGTACTCCTCATTACATACTCGCTCACTACATTACTCGCAGTTACCCTTGCAGGCATTTTGCCACCCGTCAAGTTTGACTCCAACTCCCTCAGCCTGTCCTCACAGCAGAGGTGCTCCAGCCCTTTGACCATTTTTGTGGCCCTCCTCTGGACCTGCTCCAACAAGTCTCTCTTGTATTGAGGGCTCCACAGGACACCAAGTGAGGTCTCACCAGAGAAGATGGGCAGAATCACCTCATTTGTCAGGTAAGTCTCAAGTATCCAAAACTGAAACAGAACTATGAAGCCCATCATACCAGACTTCAACATTTTCTCCCATGTGATTTTTAACATGTTTGACATAACTCTTAAGTAACTTATCATGTTAAACATGAGGGAGAGATTGCATTTTTCAGCTAAGAAATCATCCTCAGTACATCTTTTAGAGGCACTGCCATAGAATTAAAAATCAGAGTCAAGTTTCAGTGGTAAGAAATTTTTTTACAGCAATCAGAATAAAAGATTTGAATACAGTAGTGCAACAGGCTTACCAATCAAACATATGTACCTTATATATCTATATATATTTTTTTTATAAATATGCATGTTGCTACACAGATACAGCTATCTGTATATATTTCTACAAGTTGCTGAGTAACAATGTCAATAATCAAAACGAAAGGCTATACTCCACTTCTGCAAAAGTTTTTGTTTCTATGAGTCAGCCTTGATACCTCTTCCGTTCCAGCTGAGGTGTATCCAACGTTGTCTGTTGATTCATTGCCTTAATCCAATAAATGAGGGCTTGAAAAACATATGCTACGTGTTTCAGTGAACAGACATCTAGAACAGGAAGAACATCTGAGTGCTCATCATTGTGAGAACGCATCAAAGACAGTGCGTAGTTCAGGAAATCGCCACGTGCTGACATCATTCCCTGGCGGGCACTCAGTAAAGTAGCACGTCTAGTGAAAAAAAAAAAGATTAAATACAGACAGATTAGGCACCATAGTAGAATGTATTCTTTACGTATCAGTCTCTGTATTTAAAACATAGATGCAAAACACACAAAAAAACCCCACAACACAAAAACAGTTCAGCAATAAGAGTAACAACCACAGTTTTATGTTCTACTACATGCAGCTCAGGTGCAGTGTATTATAAACAGGTAATACTCAGGATGAACCTCGTATGTCAGAACAATCTAAACAGTGGCAACAACACGGGAAGCCAAGTTAAATCACACCAGTAAGTACACTGCTACATAACAAAATCAGATCTCTAAAATGTCAGTGAACAATATGACTGTAAAACTGGTAATTTGTATTGCATGCAGCAACTGAACTATTTTGATACCTTCTTCCCTCAAGCGTTCTTAAGCTGGCTTCCTCACGAGCTGTCATTCTTTCCCTTCTGGCTGAGTTCTGAGAAGCATGGAGAGGATGATTTGGATGCCCAGGATCACCAGCAGATGCTAATGCAGAACCGTAACGCAGCTGAGCTTCAGTAGAGTCCATGATACTAACCATCCAGTTCCAAGTAGGAATAAGCTTTTCTTCCACATAATTCTGCAGGCAATGAGGTTTAATGAGTTTTGCGAACAAGAGAACTAGATGACGAGAATGCAATCTCAACATAAGCCGCCACCGTGGCTTTTACAGTCACCCCTGATTCCCTACAAGCAAAGAGGCTGTAAAATCACATTCAGGAATGACCCATGAGCAGTTTCTAAAAGCTCTATTGAGAGCACTGATTTACTGCAGTGGTATGCAGCTCTTATCACTGAATATCTTGGTGTATGTAAAGCCTTCTCACCATTCTCTCCCTTTTGGGCATTTCTTCTCCTCCTTACCTTATGACCACCCAAGCATTTCCCAGGTGTGTAAATCTCAGGGATTTAGGCCTAATTCCTGCCTTGCTAGTAGCTTTAACAGCACTCATCTTGCTATGGCACTCACCAGCCAGGTCTTTCATCATTCCTTACCCCTTGCAACTTAAGTCAGGGAAGATGACAAAGTTAAGACCTGCACAGAGACTTTGCTTCACGTGTTCTTCACCTGTTCCCAAGACTGGCTCTGAGACCTGCTCATCTTGCCATTTGCTAGACTCCATTGACCTGTGGTTTGTCTGTTTTTTAATCCAACATGAGTCCACTTTTTTCATTTGTCTACATTCTGTTCTTCACAATCATCACTCACACTTCAAATGTTCTTGTATCTACCAAATTAACAAAATGCTGTCTCAACCGCATTTCTGTATTCAAATGAAACCTGCACCATCAAGCTTTCACATGCTAATAAAAACCTCTTGCTACCTCAGCTGGACAGCAATCCTGTGCACTTATCTGGCAAAATAAAGCTACAGCTTTTCAGCTTATATTCTTTCTCATATGAGAAGAGCCTTAGAGAGCTGAGACAGTTTAGATTCAAGAAACAAACTCAAGAGGATCTTATCAGTGTGTTTATATATCTGATAAAAAGGTATAAAGTATACAGAGCCAGAGTCTTCTCAGTGATACCTGGTGAATGGACAAGAGACAACAAGCACAGATTGAAATACATGGAAAGTCCATCTGAACTCAAGAAACAACTTTTTTACTATAAAAGTTGTCTAACAATTAACAGGTTTCTCAAAGCAGTTGTGGAGTCTCCATCCTTGGAGATACTCAAAACCTAACTGGACACAGCCCTCAGCATTCTTCTCCTGTTGACGTTGCCAGGAATTTGGTCTAGGTGATCTTCAGAGGTCACTTTCAACCTCAGCAATTTTATGATTTTACCTCAAGAAAACAACTGCATTGATATTATGTTTCTCTACAGATATTTGGATGTTCTTACCTGCAAGTTAACTGCATCTTGGTAAGTTAGCTTCACTGCAGCTGGGATCTGAGAGTAGACTAAATGATTGTACTTGGGAATCAGACCCATTAGATCAGATATCTGCCGTATCACAATACTGTATGCTCTTGCTAAACTGCTTGCAGATGTTAAATAGCTGCTTGCATTGCTGGCTTCGAGTGCAGCAGCTGCTGCTGCAGCACTTGTACTGATGGTACCGCTCCGACGTAGGTTGGATGGATCAATGTAAATCAAGCCTGATGAACTGGCTAAACACAGAAGAAGGAATGACATTGATTAATTTATTTAACCTTTGCTATGTAGTTTCTGCATTGACTAGTACCATGAAGATTTCTAGAAACAGGCATGTAAATATTACTGACATCACAATTGTAACTAGCAAAAAATCACTAGCTCCAGTAAGCATACCCATATCTCCTTAGGAACTACAACAGATCCTTTCTTTTTTTTCTTTTTTTTTTTTTTTTTTAAATTCAAATCCAGAACTGAACAGTCAAGATAGGTCAGCACTGTTCTTCTAAGACAGTCTCAAAGTTTAAGGCTGGGCCAGCCACTAAACTTTGACAGATGCTTTCTGTGATCCCCCCACTACCCTCCCAGGAGAGGGTAATGGGAGAATCAGAGAGAGACTTTAAGGATAAGATTTTATCCTTAAGAGAACAAATAAAACCATAGGACGAGACAAAGCAAGAGTTAACTGACATTCACATATGCATTTTACTCAGACTTGCCTGCTGGGGCGGATGTACTAGAGGGAGCAGTGCTAGCCGTCCTCTGGTTTTGGGTGTTACGTACAGCCCACTGCATGGACCGGGGAGCCTGGGCAGCACCATTGGCGTGTGAGCTATTTGTGGTTCGTTCCAGAGGCTCATCAAGCATGAAGGTCTCTTGCTCTATGTCATCGCTCTGACTGCTGCTGCTATCAGAGTCACTGGAATCGTTCGATTGAGAGTCATCTTCAGAAAAAAATGCTGGAACACTGCTAGCTCCTGTTGAGGAAAACAAGCAATAAACAGTAACTGACAACTGCACACCTGCACATGCATACATGTATCATGCCAGCATTGTAAACTTTTTCCATAAGAAATTACAGATACTAAAAAGGTTCAAGCACTACTACTGAAAATCTATAATAAATAATCCTTATAACACACTGCTACTTTTTCATAGGTTTCATGAAAAAGCAGCAAGATTACTTACATTTCAAAAGATTAAAAAAAATTTCTTCACTGATTCTGCCCTCAGCCAAAGAATTCTAAAAATTATGCTTCTGAACTGGACACTAGAGCAGTTGCTTTCAGAAAGCCTTAAAATGACCGGTCAGCTTTTGTGTTTCATTTTAAGCCATGTCTGACTTCTACACTAAAAACGAGTGAAAACATTTCATTTCACATCACAAGAGTGCAAGGCTATCACATGCAGAAGCTCCATAAGGGCAAAAAAGATAGGCCACATCTTAGTGCATCTCCTTGTCCAAAAACTCTGCATAGGACCTTACAAATTGCAGGCAAAGGGAAAGCAAATGAAAAACAGGGAACATGGGGAGGGTGGAGGTGGGAGGGAAGAAGCTGCGTGAAAAGAAAAAAAATAAAGAAAGGGAAAATAAGTTTACAAGGGAAAGGTATTTGTTAAAATGTTGTAACCAGGTAATTGTTGCTCTGTCCAGTTGTGAAATAAGTAATTTCCCTAGTGTACCTCTGGAGTGCTGGATGCAGTCCAGATCCAAAGGCAAAGAATAATATTTTTTCGGTGAAGCCAGTTCTGCCCTCATTAAAGCCATATTGAATCACTAACACATTTCTTATTCCTGTACGGCTTAATCCTAATATCTAAATTTAAACAGCTAGATTAGATGATGTGGCGTACCTGCTTCTGACCCAGCAGTAGCTGCAGTGACAACACTTCTGCGCCCACTAGCATTGTCCTGATTACTGTGGTTACTCTCACTGTCACTTTCTGTTTCAGCAGCAGCTAGCAAATCCAACTCCATATCACTGCCTATAAAAACAATATACAAAATATCTCATGTGTGGAAAAAGGAAAAAAAAAAATAGAATGACTGTGGCAACTCATGTAAGACACATTAAACAAAACCCAGAGGCTATTCCTACAGCAGAAATTAATGGATATGCAGGGAGAGGTCATAAAAGCAGTGCAAACACACAGCAGTACTTGGAGCATCTTTTCTTATTTTCCAGCAATTGGCAATCCCTGACCCTCTCAACTCCATCCTGCACGTACACATTCAACACACGCACTGAAAATTAAGACTGTAAGGATTCAGAATTAGTCACTCAAGCAAAAAGACTCCACAGCTCTCCACGCACATGTATGAGGACAATTAACCATATGCCATCTCAAACAAACATCTAAGGAATACCTAAAAACTTTAAAAAAATCTGATTTAAAAATATAGGTTCTGTTCCAGTTAAAGTTTTCAGAATTAGATGTTCTGAACTCAGCAAGTGAATAAACAGATTTCCTGTACTGTAAATTGGTTGACTGGAAACATGAGACTCCATCAGAAAGACATGATGTTTTTTTTCTTTTTTTTTTATCATAGCTTTGGGCCACCTAATCTCAAGATAATACAAGTCAAGTCATATTAATAGCAAGAATTTTCATACATAATGGATTAGATTTGTCTACAAAATATTGAGACGCAATTTAATATTCTGCAATTGGTCGGAAAACTAGCTCACCATGATTCAGATCCCTTTTGAGAACACATCTACTATAACCACTATTCTATCATTAGCCATACACGAGCCAGGCTATTTTTCTAGCCCTTCAATTAGTTTACGTCACAAATATATTACAGGAGCAAATATAAAAGGCAAAACAGATATTGTTAATCAAGCATATAATAACATTTGGGGTTTTTTTTAAATCCTTTGGTACCTTAATATTTTCTCCTTTTGCAGAAGGGGAAAACCAAAAATCTTGATGTACCTGCCTATTACGAGTTACCTATAATTTTACTCATCTCTTTTTGCAAGATGCATAGTCTGAAAACCTTGGATTCTCTCTGCTCACGCAAGTCTCCCAAATCATTGGTGACTCCAAAGATGCCTTTTGATGCAGTTTGCTCATCCAAGCAGTAATGTGCGTGATGTACATCATACGTACCATCTTCATCATGCTCGTCATGCTGTCCTTCTGCTTCAGCATTTTCTTCACCATGTTCTTCCTGTTCATCATGATGGTCTTCTTCACCAGCCACCCCTTCAACCACCTCGACCTGAAAACAGCATTGCAATTTTATGCTAGAATACCTTCCAAATCAGAGATAATCTATGTATTTCCAAAAACTCAGTGCAAGATTTGATTTACAAACTAAGAAACAAGAAAATGCATCCAAGAAAGGCAACGTCACAATTAAATTCATGTGTACAGAAAATGAACCTACAGCCACAGTAGTTGTACATGGTTGTACAGTCCACAGTGTTGAGGAAAAAAAAAAAAAAGTCAAGCCCATAAATCAAACAGCCTTGGACATTAAATTTTAATGCTAAAAGGGTAAAATTGACTATAAAACCTACAATTTCTAAATAGTGAAGATCTATAGTCCTGGTAAAAGCTGTCTTATAGAGCCTAAGTAATAGCAACCATGTACTGAAAGACTTAAAACCTTTTTTAACAGGCAGCTATAATAGAGCATAAGTTTATATATAAAGGAAATAGCACATTAATTAGTATTTTAAATCATACTGTAGTTCTGTCAAACGCAAGGCACTCGGTATACTCTGAAATGACTAAATATTGCTGAATACAAAGGAATGATTACAAAGCTTTGTTAAAATAAAATGCTTGTGACACAGTAGGGCTCCACAAAGTACTTCGCAACATCTGCAAATGGCAGGTCGAGGTGCACAGATTTCTGGTTCAGATGCTAAAGCATGTGCTTATGCATTAGGTGCCATACCGAGAAGAAAAAAGGCAGAAAAAAGAAAACTAACCTCTTCCACATCTGCTGAAACAATATCATCTTGTTCTTCATCCCTGCCACGAACTGGTTGTGACTGGCTGATTCGTCTTTGCTGAGGATTCCTTATGATGTAGGATGACTGAGATTGACTGGAACTTTTAAAAACAAACAAACAAACAAAAAAAGTAGATTTGTACCTCTGGATGCCACCATGAACATAAATCACTACAGAATTCTGTCAGTAGGCAACTACTTCCACAGTGCTTGGCCAGAATAAGCTTCAGCATACTTCTGTTAATGAAAAGCTAATAAAATTCCAAACTAAAGTCACCTTAATCAAGTCTTTGAAAAGAATGAATGCTGAGCTTTAGCAAATTTTTTTACCTGCTAGACTGGTCAGATGACGGTCTGGGTGGCAGAGGCTCCACAGAAAACAGCTCTTCACTTCCCTGCATGGCATCTATACTAGTGCTAGCAAGAGTAAAGGGTGCTGTAGGACGTGCAATTCCCATCCTGACTGGTATAATTAGAGATTCTGCTACATTGCACAACTCTTCAACAGCATAGGGCAATAATGCCTGGAATACACGTTTACATTTTCCAATGGGCTGTGGAATAAAATTGCTAGGGTGAAGGAAAAAAAAAAAAAAAGGTAAAAATAAAGGTCAAATACATTTTTTTTTTCAAAAATACCTTTATGGTGATATCTTTTTTTCTTTTTTAAAAAGTAAAGACAATTAGCATTAATAGAATAATACATCTGCGTGTGTATAGTAACGATATGCACAGCTATTCAATCTGTTAAAACCATTTATCATTCAGTAATTTGAGACTAAGGCTGGATAGATAAATCTTTTACTGACAAAGACTGTAATTTTAACATGCTAAGTGTACTTACAAAAACAGAATAGAAAGGTTCAGTATGAACATGAGAGTTTAACAAGTGTTATATTAACAAGTCATGTGATATACTAGCAGCTATTGTGCAATCCTGAGGTTTGCACCTTTCCACACGATGCTGCCTACAGACCGCAAATTAATTCAAACGCTTCTGTCTATTGTTGACTTGTATCAATTTGTTTAAGTAAAAGAATAAATATTTAAAGTAAAAAACCCCAAACCCATCACATCCAACACACAATCCCCATCACTTACTTTTTCTTTTTGGAGGAAGCCATTTCCACACTAAGAATGACAAACACTCTTGCCACAGAACGCAGAAATCTCATTGTAACAGCAATAGCTTCTTCTCTGCGTCCTGGTGCGTACTTGTTTTGTAATTCCTTTACCAGGGTACCCAGCAAAGTATCTAAGAGCTGTAGAAACAGGTTGTTATAACCCAATAATGGTGTGCAATTTAGAAGCATTAAACAAGACAGATTAAGATTCAAAGGAGTCCACAGCTATATGTATATATTTAAGCTAGGTTTTGGCACTGTAAATTCACCAAAACATGAGTATTTTCAAATTAGTCTCCAAGTGAGACTAGGACAAAGCACAGTATCACATTACTCAGATAATCTATGTAAAACATGGATTTGAGTGCTCACCAAAATGTCTGCTGTGCACTTGACAATAAGGCAGTGTGTAAAACAGTCCAAGCGAATAGTTCCACTTTGCTGATTAAGGTAAACTTGTTCTTCAGGCAGAAGATGGCCTATCCTCCTGCTTGCACTAAGACTTGGAAAAAACAAAGAGAAAGGAAATGTGTTTTATATAAGTCAGCAGGTCTCAAACACCAGATCAAGCTTTACATTGGTAACTATGCATAAATACACACGGGTCTTTATTTTCCTGGGAGCCAAACATGATCATGGATTTCAGTGCATTCCAGTCTTGCAAGACACGTTCCAAAGCAAGCTGGGCAAAACGAGGAGGTTCTAAATCATGATCAGGCATATCAGAATCTAAAGAGATCAAAAAAAGCAACATAAGAAAGAGGTACCAAACATAAAATTTGATATTTATTTCTCTGAAAAAAATCCTTACCTTCAGGATTTGCAGTTTTACGATTACGATCTTCCCTAATTCTAGGTGGTCTGTATTGGCAGTGTTCCACAGTTTGCCTGGCAACTGTCTGTACTAAAAAGAGCAGCAGATGCTCTCCCCTGTAATGAAAAATTGATTAAGGGAGATGTGACACACCACATATTTAAAAAGAATAAAAATTATTCTGCCCTAGTCATTGCAAATATGAACTTGCCTGCTATTTGGCATGGTGACAAGGTTTGTGGTGGTAAGCAGGCGGTAAAGCAGATCAAGGCGAGCAGACTTTTGTCCAGCAATTAGTGTTTTACACTTGCACTTCTCCCAGCAATCACAATAGGCTGTTGGAGACGTTCGTTTGAGCCTATAAGAAACAGAAAAGGTGAGCTGCAACACTGGTCAGTAGTATAGCAAATATTTCCTACGCAGGCTGAGGGTGTTAGTGTACACATTAAGATTCCTGGTAGAGCTCCTTATTATATAGCAACATGCCGAAACTTAGCTTAGAAGAGAAATGCAGAGTTTATATGTGCTGGCACTTGACATTTGCTGTTCTTGTTTCCTACACTCATTTTAAGAGGGCAATTTCATGACAGCTTTTCATAGTACCTTAGTAAAACTCACCCATACATTCTTCCCCAAAATAGCCTTCGCCAAGAAAGTTAAGCTGGAAATCTGCAGTAAAACCTCAGTAATTGTTACAATGCTGAGACTTTCTTCATAATTGCTTCTGTTAGCTTATTATAGCTAGGACATTAATGCTATAACATTTACACCCTGTAACAGTGGCACAAAACATCTGCAGCTTCAAACCTCTGACCAGGTTGATCAGAGACTTCTTGACTGTTCATCTGACTGCTTGCTCAACTTTTCCTTTATTATAGTTGGTCTTAGAGATTTATATGCTATGCTTCTTTCTGAAAGTATACAAGAATGACCTGTCAATCAGGATTCACTGGCTTCAGAGAACTCCTGGAGGCACCCAAAATGAAAACATGGTATTATTCAGATATATTATTCACAGAATATTATGCCGTTTGAGGGTGTTAGAATTACTCATTTACTCTAAATTCTACAGGACTGCTTCAGGTTACTGTCTCAATTCTGATCCATAAAAGAAATCTTACAGAGCAGAAGGAAAAGAAGGTATGTTAAATAATATTAACCTTATCTAATATGAACACTTCAACCAAGGGAAAAAACCTATTAACTAGCAGTAAACAAGTGACAGCACTAAATATTGATTTCATTATAAGAAATAGAACATGATACATACTTGCAGTCATGTCCTTTGTGACAGACCCTTGCACATTCTGTGCAACAGCAAAGAGATTCCAGTAGGCCACATGTTCGGCATTCAAATATATCCTAAAAAGTCAATTTACCAAGAAGATTACACATAGTTTTCTCCCTATAGCTCTTGCAATCTTGCAGCATTTCAGGTTACAATACAATTGCACTTCTTCAAAATGATGCCTTCACTTAATTTTAAGTAAGTTCCAGAAAGCAAAACTTTGCGGTTAGTTAGAATATTCAGTGTTTTCAAAGAGCTGTTTCCACAAAAATTTTTGCCAAAGCTAGCCAGAGGGAAACACCACACCCATAAACAGCTATATTCTGACTGACAAGCCAGCTTTGAGAGTACAAAGCAATCAGGGGAGGCAATAACTATACTAGACTTAAAAGCTGCAGTAACTAAAACAATGCAACTTTAATAATTTAAAAAATTCGATTAGTAGACTAACACACTATATGGTTGAAACATATTCTTATTTACTCAAGAATAAAAATAGCAGAAGCCTTACTTGGTTAATATGTTCTGCACCAGTCCATGTAAAACTGCATGTATCATTACAGCACAAAACATACAATGGAGAGTCATCTGGATTCGTACCAGTAGGACAAACCATTCCCATAAACACATCGTCTTCTTTTTCACTGGAAGTTGCTTCAGCTAAAAGAAAATAGAAGACCAGTGTTATAAACAGTTGCTCCCAAAATAAAAAACCCGCACCAAGAGAATCCATACTTAACAGATGCTTGCCATTACAAAATACTAAACAGCATTACAAGTTTGAATGAAGTCTCTATCACGGTTTTTTGAAGAAAGCTTTCTGCTTGTCACATTAGAGGTATTTCTTATAGAACCTGCTGCAAATTCCTGACTGAAAAACACAACTACCAACCCTTCCCTAGTTTTAAACCCACTGATACTCTCATCAACTCAGTGGATCACCATTTTGAAGTATTTAAAAATAACCAATATTCTTATGCATAATACACACAGACTTTGTCACACCACAGTTCCAATCTGCTAAAGTTTCTCCTTAAATTCAACTTCACGTATTTCTCTTTAACAATTAAATACCAACATCAAAAGAGTGTCACAAAACATAGGTTTGCACAGAAGTCTTTTCAGGAACAGGATCTAGCTCAGCATACAGCTTTACCGTATTTTTTTTTTTCCAGTTAAAAGAAAGAAGTTCCAGATGCTACTGAAGAAGTAGTACCTTAATCCACTGATGTCTGTAAAGCAATGAAATGCTAACAAGACTATAAAGAACACAAAAGCAATAATATTCACAGAAATCTGTCTAATATACATGCTGTAAAAGTGGAAGATACTCCATGACAGCAAGATTTCCAAAACATGCACCAATACAGAGTATTTTGGAGAGAGGTGTTTATCACCATCACCAGTTCCTCAAGCATATGTAATTTCACACCAAAACCCCTGCTGTTAATAATGGATCTGCACACATGCCAAAATTTAGAAGGAAACCACATGCTAATAATTACTGAAGCTGGTGTACCTTTAGCAATTTTCTGTGCAGTTTCTAGAATTGTAATTGCAGCAGGGTAAGCCCGGCCACTAACTGCTGACATAAATGGTGTCATGCCTCTTGCATCCCTAGGGGGGAAAAACACACAAACAATTTTTTTTTTGTTAAAAGTAGACGTAGGAAACAAATACACGAAAACTTAGTTAATCTTGCGCAAACAGAAAAACCGCGGAGTGAATAAGCATTCTTTCACTGGTTTTACTTCTGTGAAATAGACCTAATTTTAAGGGATGGCAGGACACAAATATAGCCAATATTTTAACACTCTGCATTTTAACTGATGCTCTTTTAAATAACCTTTTAAAAAAGGCTTCTATGTAATAAATTTCGGGTGATAAAATATTACAAATATAGTGAGAATTCATACGGAAATCCTTACTTAGCTGAAAGCAATTCTCGAAGATAAGGTTGTAAAACAACACTATCGCATAGTAATTTCAGTATGAAATGAGCATTTGCCTTCCGATCCTTTGATTCCACTACAGATGGTTCAGTAGAAGGACCTGCAATGAGAAAAAAAAATTTCAGTGGAACAGTTTTTCCTTAAAAAATGACCATCTATTAAAAGCACATAATTCAATGTTTCACTGGGGGGGATCAACCAGTAGCTTCACTATTCGGTGGTTTGCCAGTTTCAGCAGCATTTCACCGAAGTACTATAAATGTAGCTTCCACATTACATCCTGAAACACAGACACTAATCCCAATTTCATACCGTACTTTAACATATTTGTCATTCCCCAGGATATTTTTGATTATTTTTTTTAAAACACACCATGGTGCTTCATTTACTTTCTGCACACTTGTGAAATTCTCCTTCAATCCGATCTTCGTCTGAGAAGAGGCATTTCCATATGCAGCAAGTCTGTGTCAGCAGACAGCTTTTTGAGATCATTTGCCTTCTAAAGCATAACCAGAGAATCTGTAGGTCCTCACCTGGTATCGTGGAGGTGCTAGGTCCTTGGCCGGTGCCAGTCGCTGCTGTGGTAAGAGATCCCACAGCGGGGGCCAGGATAAAATCAATGTCACCATCTTTCAGTAAACAGAACAGCAGGATGTATATCAATACATAAAAACATCCCTAACAACATGCTCTTACTGCAATGTCTAACACACCGCAGATTTTCTGCATTTAATTGGTTCTCTCTCCTACAAACGGCCACATTCCGAGATTAGTAACGTAACTGAACATCACAAAACACGCTTCACCGGTGTTAGAAAGACACAAACTGGATCTAAAAGCACCTAGTAAGTCTTCAATAAACTCTTAAAGCTACCTCAGTGACCTCTTGCTACCTCAACAGCATTAGGTATTTTATTCTCTTGCTGAAATCTAAGTGATTCACCTTAAAAGCCATCGGCTCCTTTATTAAAATCTTACATTCTGCAGTCTAACGGGATACATTAGCCAACTTACCCGGATCCATTGCGGGAGGATCTGGAACCCAGCTGGGAGGAGCTATTGGTGGAGAAACTGGGTCCTGGTGATCACTTGATGAAGCACCAGCTTCATGTCTGCCCAGTCCTGCAGCTCTCAGGGATCTTCGCATCATTTCCCTTAATCTCAAACTGAATACAAAAACAAGGTAAAAATACTATCTCATTTTCACTTACAATTTTTAAAGCAGAATTTCATACTGAAAAAGAAAACCAAATTCTTTTCTCCATTTTTCTTCAGCATAAAGAAGAATAAGCAAAAAGTTATTTTTTCATTTCTATATTCCATTGCAACAGAATGTAATGGCCTTGGAGAAAGAGTCAGTCAGCAACGTCTAAAGACAGCTTTGAGCCCAAAACACAACCCTACCTAGTCACCACTGCACTGCCTCTGGCAGAGAGCAGCAGCTGATTGGCATTATTACCACTATTTGACATTCCTTTTAACCCAAACTCATTGCCAGCAGTGTTAAGCTTGTGCAAGAATTTGCTCTTGTTGCTGCTGTGTTGTGGGTTTTTTTAAAATCTAACTGCGAGAATAATGAAAGAATAACAATGGAGTTTAGAAAAAAAAATCTTTTAAAAGGAGTTGTTTGTTTAAAGCTATTTAACATGAAAGTATTAACTCACTGAGGACAGCCAGCAAGCAATTTCAAGAAATTCTGTATCATCTTACTAGACAAAAAGGTGGTAGGAATAAAGTAGAGGCCAGTGTGATACAAAATGGTACAAACGTAAAGCTAATTTGTTTGGTTCTCTAATGCACTTCTTCTTAAGACTAAACATCTAAAGAATATGAGAAGGGAGCTTCAACACTTAACATCATCTCCTATATCAAAAAGATCATGGTGATGAGGACTGTAGCTTGGGAAGGATAAAGACATCATTTCATGTCAATTGCTTTGACTGCAGAGCTAAGTAAAAGAATTGTACTATGCCCTAATGCAGTGTTCTGAACTCACCAGAACTCAGTACAGACACTGCTAAATTCCCTTGATGTAAGCACCACTCAGTTACCATTATGGAACACAAAAATCATCAGAAACTAGGATTCTATCAGGGTCAGAAACCTGTCATTTAGAGCCATTTGGGTACAAAGGACACTCACTATAACCACAACTGCTTAAGATAAAAAGAATGAACTTAAGTTCTTCCCCACTGGTATTATGCTGATCTCAGTATTATTTATCTACATAAGTGACCATCTCCCTCAGAAATGCCCTTAAAAAGAACAAACCTGGGTGCTATTACAGTATTTCCATGATACGTAATTCTCTGTGGTAAAAAACACTAGAGCTTATCCTCAAATTCCCTTTCCCCAACGGGGAGAAGCGTTTCCACTTGACAAATGAGGAGACAATGCTCCAACCCCAGAAAGCAGAATTAGTTTAGAAATATCCCACCATTACCAGAAAAGCCTTCAAAAAACCCACTAGAGCTCTACTTTGGTGCTTGAAGTAGTAAAATCTGACTTTAAATTAGCATTAGAGCCCATTCTTAAACCAGACCAGAGAAAAGAATTAATAAGAGATTCATAATGACCACAATAATTAGCATACAAAAAACAAGAAGAAAGTGTTAGCCCAGTTACCTTCTGCTGCTCGATGATCCTGCCCGATTTCCTGGACCATTACTTGACACGACAGAGATTGCATTTGCAATAGCTTCCACAGCCGAGAGCCTTTCAGCAAACGTATTCCTTTCAGAGCGCTCCGCTTCTGCAAAATTGAGAAAAGTGTTAGTGTCAAACTTTCGCATGGGAAAATTATACGGAAGGCGTATAAAATATGAAATGTCACCAATCTCAAAATGTTCCCCCCTTTTTCTTTTTTAATATTTAGAGGGATAGAATAGGTTCACATTCCAATTTTTATTTTGGATGAGCTTAATGATGACACTAACTGGATTTGGTTTCTAAAAGGACATCCTGGAAGGAAATTCAAGGCACCAAATTCCAGAACAAGCTTTCAGTTTTCAGTATTATCAAGAGACAAGGACCTATCACAAAGCGCATTACAGACACTTGTCAAGTCAAGGCTTCAAAAGCAACAACAATCAAAAAAAATCCGCACAACACCACAAAAAAATAATAAAAAAAGAAAAAACAAGAAAAATCAACGACCTTGCTTCACAATGAGTGGCTATGAAAAACAATGCAAACTTGTGGGCTTCTAAGATACAGAGTGTACTTGCGAATATGGTTAGGAAAAGTAACTGTGTTATGAGTATAATAAGGTAGCACACTTCATTTTTATCAGAAAGAATGAGCTTTTCTTCTAAAATCCTAAACACCATAACACCTAAAGGTTCTAGTCATAATGAGGACCTAACTGTGCCAAGTGTTGTACAGAATATAGAAAAAAATACCTAGTTTCACACTTCCAGCACAACTTGAAGCAGCCACCTGAATCAAAAGCCTAAGGTAGATTTATTTATCTGCGAGATAAATACACAGATAAAGCAGTAAAGTCAGCTGTGCAAGGTTTGCACAGGGTAACAGTTGTTGTTTTTTAGGAATTACTGACAATTAAAGATTGCATAGCCGCTACATTGCCAGTTGTGAATCGCTACAGCCATGGATCCAGAAAGAACTGAAAGAGAAGCCACCCTCAGCCTGACAGAGGCCAGGAGAGGGGTAGTAGAGTGAAAAACTATTTTTTGTATAAAACAGAAGGAAAAGATTTCTGGAAAAAAAAAAGTAAAAAAAACCTTAAAGTGACTCTGATCGTACTTTCAGGACACATCTCAAAGATGCCACGGATGGTGCTCAGTTTCCACTTAAAAGGCTTTTCAAACTGATAAGCCAACATCCTCTACACACACATTTTCTCAACTGGATAATTTCCTTTTTAATTTTTTTTTAATCAAAGAATGTACTGTTAAGACCTCTGAGTTCACAGAATAAGGTAAATCAATGATGTATGTCAGCTTTTACAACGTGTTTATTCTTTATATCCTTCTACTCATCACTACCTGAAGCAGCAAAGACCTTTGGTTTTACTTGTTCTCAAGCACATGCAGGTTTCTTACACAAAAACCACCTACTGCCCGTAGCACTCAGCAGAATATTACGGTTGTGCCCCTAGATCTATATACTTTTTGACCTGTAAATGAATTGCCACTATATATGTGCTGTACTCCTAAGATCCACTAGTTCTTTTAACTCACTCTCCTGAGTCATCCCTCAAGTAAAACAAAGCAAAACAAGTGTTCTCTGCAACAGATATTTTGCCTATCCTTGGTGCCACAGCAACCTCCAAGTGAATTTTTGCTGTTCCACTTCAGAAGTTAGCATTTTTTCAGAGACTCATCAATTGTAAATGCCCTGGCTCTAAGGGTAACTTGCTCTTCCACTGTCTAATGAAATCTGTCTCAATTCTCTAGAAAATACTCAGTTTGTAGGTGTTCGTAACATAACTCTCCAACGATTTAACATGTTTTGGACATTTCTTTTGGAACTGTCTTTTGCAAGACCTCTTCTATTGGCAAGACTGAGGAGATAACAAATCACAGAGAAAGGAAGCAGCCTTCCCCCTAGCTTGCAGGTCTGGGGCCACTTTTCCTGCAATTCATTTATCCAGTGCTACAGGAGCTAAGGTGAAACATGGCACAGGATCTGAGAACAACAAGAAAAAAAAGCTTATCCCTACCCTCTAAAGTCCCTTTCTAGCACTTAAGGGGGAATCAGTATGAAGAAGAATGAAGCATCTCAGGCAGGTACTAGCTAGGAAGGGGCAGTATGGTCTTAATTGTCAGGAACATCATGTCTGGGGTCTGGAATTGAGGGCTTTACTCCTAAATCAAACTTCTTTTACAGTTTAACAGATGGCTGTATAACTTGCAGACAGTAACATTAGTCACCACTTCCCTCCAGATGATGTACAGAAAACGAGCTTGTTTTAATATCCATCACTAACATTTACAGTAGAAAGTGACTGTGATTTGAATATAAAGATATGAATTCCGCTTTTAGAACAATTTTTGTGAGGGAAAGAAAAAGAGAGGCAGAGGGGTGTTAAAAGTCTATTAGGTTCACATTTTTCAGAAAGATAAATTACATCCAGATGAAGTCACCAAACAAATGTCAAGGTTGCAAAGACAAGCACTCAAATAAGGAAAAGTCCAATTAAGGTTGCCCATGCATCCTTATTTCAGCCTCCTTGTGTGCTTATAGTAAAGGAATCTTCAGTTACACAGTTGAATTTTGTTTCTTTTGGGTGGGATTTTTTGTTGGGGTTTTTTCTTGGAGGGGTGGGGGTGCTGCCCACCCTGCAACAAGACCCCTGCCTCAATCAGTGCACAGGATGGACGACACGTTAGAGATGAAGGGTTGCACAGTGAGCGAGCTGCCCGTGCCTGCCGGACCAGCCGGAAGGCGTGCAAGTACGGCAGCAACAGCTTGGCGAGGAGAAGGGGAAGCATCGGATTGTGTTTAATGGCACCAAATGTCACTTTGGAGAACTGGAACATCTGACAGCACACAGAACTTTGTGAAACAAGTTTTTTACGGATGATCATGATGACTTTTACTCATTTCTGGACACCCGAAGGTGCCTGACTCACAGAAATAATTAACATTCACAGAACAACTAGAACTACTATTATAAAGTGTTTTGAAATAATACCTACTACAAAAAAAAAAAAAAAAAAAAAAGAGGATCAGGCTCTAGGCTTCTCAAAGAACCCTCACAATTAATTAATAGCTTTGAATACAGAAAAACTTCAAGCTATAGTACCTTCAAGATATGAGAAAGCTGCAACGTTACCCCCATTTTATAAATAGGGATATGAGGAACAATTAAGGCCTATAAATGACTGAAATTCAATGACAGCACCATACAAAAATCCCACAAGGAAGTTCATTCATTATTCAGTGCAGGGTTTGTATGGTGTGCAGTAAGGAATGGGGCCACACACTGAATGATGAGGATAAAAAGAAATATTGAATAGCTACCCATTCGGTGAGCACCGTCCATCTTGTGCACTGAATGAGGTAGTCCTGTGGAAAAAATAGTATGACGGTGTAATTAACGACCATTTCACAACGCGTACCCATGTGAAGAGTACATGGGCAAACTTAATTCTGGCATTTCTTAATTTCTGAGTGCTTGACTTAGCAACCTTGTTCTGTTAAAATACTTTTTACATAACAGTATTTAATTGACATCTTTAAATGGTGTCAGTAGCTGGCATTAAAGGAAGGCATTCTTCCAAATGTCTTAATACATGTCAGCTGCAAGTTGCACTTCTTATTGGAGGCATTAGCATATGCTGTAACACTTGAAAAATATTAAATACTGTTTCTCTTAAAAGCTTCTTAGATATAATGGGGATATTAGCAATATAAAGGTGGAACAATACTTGACTTCCTCTAAAAGTAACATGTGGATGTGAAAAGTTTGTCTTTTACAATCAATAAAACCAGCTTAGTATTCTTGACCACTGAATTCTTATAAAATCTTAGAGTAATGAAAATGCTGTCTCAGCACCTTTGAAAGGCCAGGACACATTTTCGTTGCTACATTTCAAAGATATCCATATACAAAGAATGCAGCCTTTTTTTCAATTTTCCTTGAAAAACGCATAAAAAGTTTATCTTCAAAGTATTTTCATGACATTGTTGAGCTCACCCTCTTCCTCTTTTGTTTCTTTGTTGCTGGTTGGGAAGCACACAGACACACAAGCATGCAGAATATTGCGGTTTCCATCACATCGATGGCCAAGGAACGTCTGCAGCACTTGTGGATTCTGATCCAAGACAACCGCTTGTTCAAGATTCATCAGGTATTGTCTGCAAGCCTCATAGTCACATCGGAGAATGTGCTGCATTAAAGTTTGTTTCTGTACTCAAAAGAATAAAATATTTTAATGATTTAAAATACAAAAGGCAGGCATTCAAGTTTCCAAAGTGCTTCTAGTTTTCCATTTTTGAAATTAATACGGAGGTCTAAATCTAGGACACTGGCTGGAAATCAGTGCAGGAATTGCTGAGAACACGCATCAGCTCAATTACAGCACTGTGATAAACAGAGAAAAGCAGGCGTTCGGGCACGGACGAGTTAAAGCAAAGAGGTTTAAGCAGCAGAAGCTGTCAGGCTCAGAGAAGGATGCCTTCAGCTTCAAAGCTGGGTCCTTAAGACAGATTACTTCCATTTCATGGCTACACCTAACATGGGAAAAGTGGTACAACTGAAAAAACTAAGGGGTCTGCATTAACTAGCTCTTATGTATTTGTTTTAAACAGCCAATACACAGACAGAGAAGTGAAGCAATAGAAGCTGTTGAAGGCCTGGGAGGCTCACCACATAGGTAACAAGCTTTTCCACAGTACTGGAATACTCCACTGTGAAATCAAGCTCAGTCTCACAGGTACGTAATACCTCCTGGTGGCAGCACAGCACACAGCAGACGTAACTAAATCGCACCAAGTCACTGATGGAGTTTAGACAAATATGATATACATATATAAACTCACAGCAGAACTAATTCATACAGCACCACAAACAAGTACAGAACTTTACAGGTGATTCAAGTGGGGAAAAAAAAAAAAAAAATCTTCATTTGACTCTCCTCATTTTTTAATGTATGTTCCAAAGATAAGATAAAAAAAAAAAAATTACTGCATTCATAAGAAAACAAGTTGTTGGATCCCTCAGAAAAAAACTGTACATCCATAAAACAAATAAATACTTGTATACTAGTAGTATATGTAAAAAAAGGTAACTAAAATAATCCTACTAGTTAAAAGCCTGATATGGAATCCATGCACCCCCAAAGTAGTGCTTTACTAGATATATTTGTGCTTTCATATTTTTAGGAGAATCTTCTGTTGAGATTAATTTCTTTGAAATGGTGAAAACAACAAATGGGTATCCAAACATGACGTTGCTTTAAGCATTTTTTAAGAGCACGAGGGAAAAAAAAAACAAATCACACAATTCTGTAATAAAGAAAGTACTTTACCTCAACAGCCATAATGATAATAGCAGCTTTCTTTTTGATGGTCGAGTTAGCAGGAAGATTTGTTAAGGAATGAACACCCATTCCAAGACTACTAATAGGTGGAAGATCAAGCCAGTCAGGGTCTCGTATCCCACCCATACAGTCTTTTGCCATTGGATAGATTGTACCATTTCCATCTCTCAGAATAATAGGAGATTCCTATATTTGGGAAAAAAGGTTTTTCATTAAGTCTCCACAATTTATAAATATTATCCTTCCCAAAAGGTCCAGTTCTATTTAACTGCCAACAATTACAGCAGCTTACCCAAAATTCCCATTTATGCAACTGTCTCCTATCATTACAAGTGATACAGAGTAAGATATCAGATTCCCTTTCTCAAATGCCTGAAATGTGCTTAATGTAGTAAATACTGTCAAAAGTATCTTCTCTTATGGCATACATTCATTATGAAATACTACCAAGGGAAGCATACAGTACCTAAACTTTTAGCTTACTTGAATGCTCCAAATTTGAGTGTTTCATTTGAGTACATTCAAATTTAATTCTTTTGTCAAAAATGTTTCTTTCCACTATTCTAAGCAAAGTATATCACATTTGTGGAAATTACAAAAAAAGTCTAGGCACTTTTTCCTCGTGGATGCTTGCACAGCATAATCGAGCTGTGCAATCGGATAAAGTAAGATACTTCACATTGGATAGTAGAAAGAGTTTCACAAAACCTTGATATCATCTCTAGTATCAGAAACAGATTGTTGAGGTTTTTTGCTAACATTTCCATTTATTCTCATGAGTGGATTTTCATCTTATCCAATTCCAACATACAGCTAGATAACAAGTTTACACTAAATAAGTTACACAGGAACTACTCTGACAAGTTTTTTTTCCCCTCATTTTTACTTTTTATTCAAAGTAGATTTCAAGTAAGATATTAAAAGTGCTTAAGTGAGTTAGATGGCTTGCACCTTCAAAGTATTAGAGGTAGCAGCAAGTCTTTCATAACCATTTGAAGAATTATTTCTTCACAGGTCTTTGGAAAAGCCTTACAGAACACTGTACCATCCCATTCAACGACAGAAGTGAAGTGCAGTGAGGTTAAATGTTTGAGATACAAAACCACAAACCTGTCCAGCTGTAAAAATAGCAACACTTCTCTCATTCTGACCCAGGAACGCAATGCTGCTGGTAGGGAAATTATTTTCCTGTTCAGCCTTTCCTGTGGCAAGGTCAAATATGCAGTATCGAACCCAGTTCCCAGTTTTCAGAACAGCATGCACCCCTTCAAATATACACACAAAAAAAAGTTAATGTCTTTTACTAATGGCATCCAGTAAAATAATTCTTAACTAAAGCACTTTCAAGAAGTTACTAGTAGCAAGAGTAAAAACCAGTTACGTTACTTTGACAGTAGTTGCTTTCCACTAAAGGGAGACAGGTAAGAAAGGGTTGAGCAGAGTATCTTACAGGGTAAGTCCTACTTACCTTTTGAATCTACATTTACTGCTAGGATCTCTGTTTTTTCAGGAATACACAGCTTTTTAGGTGTCCTTTGAAAACAGTCAGGAACTTTTGGAGTTCCACCAGTTTTTACGACCTAAAAACATACGCAAAATTTAAAGACACAATTAAGTGCACAGGGCTGACTTTTCAAAATACGGACCGCTTTCTGAATGTTTCACAAAGACATACCTGCAGTTCGTCTATTCTGAGCAGTCTACAGTCTTGTAGAAGAGAAGAAGGATCAGGATCTGAATTAGAGCTGCTCTGACAGTTTGTGTTACTGGAAGTGCCTGGAAATTTCACAGCAACATAAGCACCATCCACTTTTAGCACCTACAAACAGAACATATCACAGTTTTACCAAAAAGCTTTGAAGAGAAACTCTTTAGGTTGATTTGCTTCAAAATAAACTAGACCTTTATCAGGGAAAAAAAAAAAGTTCCAATAATCAGTGATAAAATTCTACAGCTCTTGGTCATTAGCCTTGCTGTTTTGCTAAAATTACTGAACTACTGAAAACTCGGATTTCTTAATGACTTCATAAGCATCCTGAATCAGACCAAAAGTCCCTCCATTTGGACATCCTGTGTCCAACAGGAACCAGACCAACTGACTAGAGAAGCTCCCTACTGATAATTCCTAGGGATCTTTTCAGCTTGCAACTGCCGCAAACAGCAGGACAACTCCATGTTTAATAGCCTAGATAAGCTCTTCTCTTATTAACTTGTCCAATCACTTTTGGAAATAAACACTACTCTTGCAACAAACAGTTCCAAACATTAGTTAATTTTTTTTCTTTTTTTTTCTGGTCCCATCAAAAAATTCTTAAAGTCTCTGTTGCAGAGTCTTAGTGCTCATTCCTCAAGATGACTGTGCACAGTGGAAAAGAGAAGGGTTGGTTTATGGGTCTGTTGCCTGTTCATCACACTCGATGACAAAAGTTCTTCACTCAGTCCCTCAGGACTGAAGGATACAGACAAGTCTATCCAGACATACTTCATGCATCTGTGTCTTTTTCTGCCCCCAAGGAAATGGAAGTTATTCAACCCCACTCTGCCAGTCATTTCTGAGATGGTAAGCCTCTCTGAAGAGTTGCTGACATGCATATCTAATCAGAACTATCAAAATATGTTTCCTTGATACAGAAATTATGTTATCATCATATTATGTTATCATCAAACAGCAAGATCTTTTGAGTTTCCAACTCACACCGTAATTTTCTCAAAAGGAAAATAAAGCTAAGAGGTAAGGGAGCACAGGGAAGGACAGGCAACCTTTTAATCTTCTATAGAAATAAGATCTCAGCATGTTTGCAGTCTTGATCAAAACTAGATACAAGCAACTGCCCTAATTTCTCAATAGTTTCTATACAGAAAGTGCTTGCAAAGCAATATAAAAGAACTAGATGTAATCAACTTTATCTAAAACGCCCCTGACAATAAAAACCACCTCTCAAGTTTCCAAAATATTACAGGCAATAAAAACCTAGGCATTTCCATGTCTTCTCTGAATTTCTCTTGCCAGGTGTATGTAGCCTATCGAGCATGCTAGTGAAAAGGATATACTGGTGAATATGAAAGTATTAACAGATTTTTTTTTTGTAACAAAGGTTACTGTAGACAGAGGCAGAGCCCTTGTTCCCCATATGACACAACTTCACCCTAGTAGCAGAGTTCCTGCTTCTACTAGTAGAGCATCACCAATAGCTTTAAGACCACCCAAAAATTTCAAAATTCAGACCTAGTCAAAAGATTCATGAACATCAACTCTGATCTAGTCTATATAAATATAGATTTCTATTGAAACTTGCAAGACAACACTCTTGACAAAAATTGCGATCTAGTAAAAAAAAAAATAAAAATCAAGGCACACCTAAAATCAATGCCAGTGCTTCAACCACAGCTTTTAGTCTTTTAGAAGACTGAATGTTGCTACAAAAGCTTTGTAAACTTAGGCTGCTTCTGAAAATGGAAGACTCTAAACAGTCAACATTAAGCAGGGTATATGATATCTTGTTTATGAAGCTTCAAATTTATGATTGGAAGAGTAGGGGGAATAAACAAACGTTAAGAAAAGGCACAATTCCCGAGTATTTATCATATCCTATCTCCATAACCAAAACTGTTCTTCTACACGTTTTCCGGCAGCTCCTAGTGCTATCACCTATGCCACTTTTCACTTACATCACTTTTTGTATATACAAAGAAATGCTGCCAGTTTTTAAAGTGCTGGAACTCTATGGTGACTCAGAGTCCACATGCCAAATATTCCTTTTCTTTCCCATTTTGTAGTTCAAGAAGTAAATCTTTAAAAATGGGGAAATATCTTTAGTAAGATTTGGTTGAGATGAAATTCACCTCTTCAAAGGGTAAAATGCAGTTCTTCAGTTAAACATCTACTACTATATTGGCTGTTACACAGAACATAAAACTACCCATTGACACAGCAAGGAATTGGGAGTTTGAGTACAACACTTGATAGCAATCGTACATAGAAAGCTGCAGAGCAGAGATGTGGTATAATGGGCTGGCACTAAACTTCTCAATAAGCAAGGCCAATGTTCCTCTTTAATGGAAATTATTTAAGTCTAGATTGAATGAAAAACATATTAACAAAAATAGAAGGTAAGATCTTAAAGAATTTAGATGCTTTAGCTTACAAAACTAATGTACTTACACTGTTCATATCACTAATGCAAAAGTTGTATTAATTAAAAACAAGCATTTCACAGAACTACATATACAATGTTTGCTGCCTTATGACTAAATTAAAAGAACTGAATAAAACAAATGAAAAAAGCAAGCAATAAAAGACAAGTTTGAAGATTTTTTTTTTCCAAAAGCAAAATACCTTTCGAGAGCATTTTCACTACATAATAATGAGATCTAATCTTTCTTTTTAACGAAAGAAGAAAGATGAATTGATAAACTGGAAGATGAAAATACTTCCTATTTCCTTTACCCTTACAATCAACCTATTGCCACGCACCTTTAAATCACAATGCCAAAGCACACTGACTGGCAGAAAACATTCAACTGAGGTCCCCACCCCAAAAAGAAGGGGAGGCAAGTCCTCAGCCTGACTTCTCCTCCCCTATTCCCTCTTACGGTTGCTCATTTAAAAATCACATCAGTGATAGGCTGAGTAGCTATCTGAACTCTAAAGTGTTACAAAACTGTAAAGTGAAAAAAGTGAAGGATAATATAGGGCACTGAAAAAGGACAGCACACTTTACAAAGGGGGAAAAAAGCATCTTTGCCATAAATGACTGATACAGAAGAGACTCAACACCAATAAGTCTATTTAGCAGACAGCCCACTTACTAGTCTTAGCACTTCAGTGAAAATATTAACATAGAAGAAAACAAGCTCAGACACCTTTACACCTGTATACAGAAACAGTAAACGAGTATTTTTCCTGAAAATCTTGGGATGTAAAACAGGAAGACACCTAAGGACAGCAGGGGCTTTGCCAAAGCTGGTACGAGAAGCAAACAACAGTTTCAGTGACTTCAACTAGATCCCAAAATCTTGTTTACAAAAATTGAAGCATTTCAATAAATTAAGTTTCTCCATACTCCCTTTCACAGAAGTGGCCTAAACTTGATAACAAAAATCCACTGTGGGCCTCCTCCTTCCAAAGACACCGCTCAAGGCAAATTCTCCACTCCTGAACAAAAGCACCCATTAGGGATGCAAGAAACTAACTGACTAAACCCAGAAGCCTTCTGTTGGACAGGTATTTTCTCTTCTGACAACTTTTTATTCTTCAATGAATCAAGTAGAAATCAATTCAACGTTTTCATTTTGTGGAAAACCTTTATTGGCTTTCCTGTTGCTTTTGTTTCTGAAATGCATAGCAGAGAACTGTCTAGATGACCTAATCCTTCCAAACACTGAAAAAAACAATGCCGAAGGAGATAAGGAGTATTTTCCTCTATAGCACTTTTAGTCAGAGCAAAGGTTTGAGAGAGAAAACAAAACAAAACAAAAAAAAAAACAAGGAAAAAACCTTAAGGTGTAATAAGTCAAATAACGTTATAGTCACGCTGAGGAAGCATGTAATTTCTAGCCAAAAGACTTCTGTTCTTTGGTTGCCAGAACACAAGATTCACCCAAAAGCTCAGTTCAAGTGTACGTAAAAATCAGTCACAACACCTGTAACACCTCATAATCTCACTGGACATGTGAAGGCTACTGCACAAGTTGCCAAAAATAATATTTTTGATAAAACCACATTTGCTTTTCTTAATATTGTGATTCAACTTAAAGGAGTAGATGTTATTTTTTAAGATTCACTGTGTTTTATTCACAACAGATTCGGTCTATTACTATCACTGTGTTATGGACAAATGAAAAGGCAGCAAAAGTCACACTAGTCAGAAACATTTCTCCAGCATTCCCAAAACTGATTCTTTTAAAAATTAGTTTATCTAAAAGGAAAAACTTCTTTTATTCCCTCCCCAAAGATGGTGGGACAAGGTATTTCAGACAAACCTTGCCAACAGGAACATTCTTAACGTCTTCCACAAACACAACTTCCCTCAGAGACCACTGCTCTTCATTCACTTTCTCCTCCTCTTTGGGGGCAGGAGTAGATCGTCGTCGCTCTGAGACAAAAAAGTTATTACCAAAAGAGAAGACTTTAAATATATAATCGAAGCATCAAAACGCAGTGTTCAATAAACACCAAAACTTCCCCCCCTTCCCGAAAGATTATCAACAGTCAAATATATAAATTAACAGGAGGTTAACAAAAATTTGACTTTAAACATACCTACACCTAGCAGTGTAACATACCACTTTCATGCTTTTCTATGAAATTAGAACTAATAAAGCCTACCTGATAAAGCAGTTTTAAAGGATATTTAAGTAAAATAATAATAATAACACAATAAGTTGTTTTGGTAGGGCTCAGATTTGACTTAGAACATAAGACAGACATTTTGAGACCCTTCATTCAGCTCTGCTACAGTGCTTTCTATTACCCTTTCAAAAAGTTTGTTTGTCCACTATGTATGGATTTTTTTGGTAAACATCTGAAAGTGTAGCAAATGAGGCAGAAAATAGCTATTCGGGCAAGCAGCAATACCTTTAGGATTGCTGCAAACACATTATCTAAATGGTAACTGCGTACACTCCGGATCAAATTTATATACATAATGTGGCTAAATTAACACCAACAAGAACTTTTAATCTCCTGAACTGAGTATACAGCGTAATTAATATTATCAACACATTTCAAGTATGAAGCAGACAACTTCTAAGCTAACCATGAAATTAACACTAGCTCAAAACCCCAAAGTTACAGTTAGAGAAAAACTACAGTTGAAAGAACTGCAAAAGAGAAATCAGTAGCAAAAGACTCTACTAGCACAATTAATGAGTACTGCAGATCTAAACATATGAGATTCTTAGTCACTGAAGCCATTCATTTCTCCATAGCTTCTTAAAACTGCAGTACATGAACAATTAGAAGAAACAGGAGCAGAGAGAAGGTATCTTCAAATGAGAGCATTGTAACTAATTAACCCTTTATAAAGGTATGGGTTTCAATGGAGGAAAACACACTTAAAATGTCAGTCACATGAATTCTAATGCATCCTTTTACATTTTAAGTACAACTTGTAAAGCTTCTCTCACTGCTTTTGTGTGTTGTAAAGAATGCCTAGTTTCAGTCATTTTATGTAAAAGGTGATTAACTACTCCTTTACGTAGTCAAGTTCACCTGCAAGGCAGGATGTACACAAACAGCTTAATCTTAACCAAGCTATTCTTCTGTAAAGAAACTCACTATCGCACTGCAATTAAACATAAACAACTTTATCTTCAGATCTCCTCTTGATCACCTCCTGAAATGTACTTTTGATTCTGAGAAGTAAGCGTTACACTTGCTCAGATACACCTTACATCAAGCAGTCACTGCTTGAACTAACACATTTCAATTTAACACTGACAATTCACTAATTATCTAAAGCCTATTACAAAAGCCTTTATACTGCAGGTCAGACAGAAAGACTGAAAAGGATTCTGAAATAAGCTCAGAATCTTTGCAGAACTGCTTTTTACGAAACCTTCTTATCTAGGAAATTTACATTATTATGAGGTACACATTACTTACTATATGGCATTGATGCACTGCTTGCTATTGAAGATGCATCACTACAAGTGGAAGCTGGGGATGGTGGAGGCCCCATCTCAGTTTTCACTGGTTCCTGTTTGCTTTCAGGTCTAGAATAAAAGGCATTACTTAGAATGAAGAAAGAAAAAAGGTGATATCTACTCCAGGACAACAGAAAAAGTGTCAGTGTGTCCCAGCCACGTGCCTCTAATAGTAAATCAGTAAAATAACTTGTTACACAACTGTCCTAACCGACAAGGCCATAAACCTGAAGCTGGGAATGGTACGTTGCTGCTTAATCAAGGATTTGCTTCATAAAATTAACTGAGCATAGATACAATAATACAGAAAATAAAAATCCTTCTATGTGATTCATTTGAAGACAGGAAGAATTACTAGCTTTATACAGTAACATGAAACTCTAGAATTGCTAAAAACTTTTTCAAGCTCTTCTTGAAATGGTTTAAACATGTTTTAAGAAACATCAAGACAGCAATTGTCAATTCATTTTTTTTTTCAAACTATAGAGGAGTTGAAACAAGTTTCTCAAAAAGGCCTGAAAACAGTTAGTTCCATAACAAAACCACTTTCAGCTATTCAAGCATAAAATCTTGGCAACTTTATGAAACACTGTGGAAAGTCATCATTTCATAACATCAAGATAGCAATTGTCAATTCATTTTTTTTTTTTTCAAACTATAGAGGAGTTGAAACAAGTTTCTCAAAAAGGCCTGAAAACAGTTAGTTCCATAACAAAACCACTTTCAGCTATTCAAGCATAAAATCTTGGCAACTTTATGAAACACTGTGGAAAGTCATCATTTCATAACCCTTCTGCACTTCATGTTTCCACAGTGGTTTCACACAACTGAGTCACCTTCCCTGCAGTGAGCATTTCTGCACATTTAGCAGTTTACAAAAAAGCTAGAATCTTACGAAGAAGGCAAAAAGTTCAAACTGAAAAAAACCTGACCTTCCTTCTTTTCCATTTCTAATCAATCACTAAGGAGAATATCAAATAAATGTTCCATGTGCATGCACGTGTGTTCTCAACACTTACTTTGCCTCAGTAGTTTTGCTAGCTTTCTCCATGTTTTTCAAGCTCTCAGGTGATCGAAGCTGGAATCGACAGCTGTCATTCATGTTCCAAACAGATTCCATTAACACACCCACTTTAGGAATTCCAGCACTGATTGAAAAAGCAACGGCTCCAGCATGATAGAGAGGATTATTTCTTAAACACACCTATAGACAGAGATTTTTATTTCTATGAGAGTAATGAATTATACTAAGGGAGATCACATAGGCATGTATTTTCTTGGCGGCATATGTGGTAGTAAAAAAATAAGAAAACTTATGGAACGAGATGAAGACAAAAGTCAGCATGATGTACTATGCACTTTGCTAGGAAAAAAAGAGGCTGCTGTGTAACGCACAGCTGAAAGTAACATCTTTAGCAATGCAGCTGCTCAGTATATAGTAGTTAGATGCTCAGTAACAAAAGGCACAATTCATCCAATAACAGAGACTCATCCCAGAGCTGATTAAAACGGATTGGGACACAAAAGAGATGTGCTCCCTGGGAAGCAGCTGTTTTGTCTCATACTGGTTTTAACACTAATCGTAAAAAGAATCCTACACCTCTGTATCAGCTATTAACCTTTTTGGTAAAGGCTTGAAACCAAAGACCTATCCCACTCCATAAATCAATCAAATCCAGACTCTAATACTGTAGGCACTTAAATTCCAAATTGTTTATAAAGCTATCTGCTCTATCAAGAATCATACTTCTACACATACTTTCTCTAAAAACACAAAATGAGTAGGTAAGTTAAAAGAGAAGTACTTTGTTCAAGTACAGCTCACATAACATTAACAGGACACACTGATCTACAGTCATATAATTAAAACACACTATTTTAATCCCGTATTATTGATGTAACTTTTGCAGATAACAAGATCAGAACCTAATTTGTTTCAGGTTTTTTATTTGCTTGTTTGTTTGTTTGAAGAGCAGGATGTAAGCTCATCGTATAGCATTGTAAAAATGCCACTTGCAACAGTCACACTTGCCTGGGTTCCAACAGTTATGTTTGGCATAGAAGAAATACCAGCGCTGGACTTCGGCTTTTTATTTTTTGCTCTGGCCTTCTCTAGCATTTTCTTCCTTTGGCTGAAAGGAACTACACCCCTGTGGAAAAATGCATATTATTTTTAAAAAGGTTATGACAAAAAAAAGCTTCGTTTATAGCTTTGTTTAAAACTTTGTTTACTCCTAGTTAATGTAGTCATGACCAAACATTTGTGTCTCCTTGCCACCTTATCCAAAAGCACTGTAGAAAAGACAGCTTGTTCTACGTTCACCCCCGCTTTCCAAATTCATCTCAACTGGCCAATTTATTAGGAGGAAGAGGGAGAGGATGTAATGTCACTGCCAAATGCTTTTCCTTCTAGCTCAAAATGCTGCAAGACCTCTGTCGCAGATGGTACGCTCCAGTCACAGCTTTCAAGTTGAGGATTGTCCATGCTGAACTTGAGGGTATCTTTCCCATGACTAATCAGAATTTCCAGAACTTATAGTCACTGGGGAAACAGGATAAGCTTTTCTGGTTTTACATTTTAAAAGCCTTATTTTCCCACTGAGGACATGACTGAAGGAGCCTAGGACTTTTATAACAGACTTACGCTGTAAGAGGGGAAAAAAAAAAAAGGACACTTCTTTGGTTAATTGGCTCCACTCAGTTTAGCTGAAAATAACACCTACGTAACACAGTTAAACATGCTTAATATTTTGATACTTCAATTTTTAGTCAGGAGGTTATAGGGTTAGATCCTCTTATTTGAAAACCTCCTTCATGTTAAGTAAAACATGAAAAGCATCAGCCCTGTGCAACACTGGCAATTGAAGTCTCATTCAGTGTACTAAAGACCATTGTAACTAAGAACATCAACAGTAACAGAAGCTTCTTTCTACATCAGATTAACATAAAATCACCATCCCTCCCATAACCGACATGTTGGTTAATTATAAATAAATAGCTTCCAAGGATTACTTATAAATGCTAATAAGTCTTTTTATATGTTGTACCGATCATTCTAAAAGCAGTAAAGATAACAGGTTCTAATAACCAAGTATCTCCAATGCTATGGCTTATTACTTTCTATACTTACTTTAAGTACTCTGAAGTATGTCAGATGTGACACAATAAAAAGACTAAGAACTAGACCACTTGAGTTTTGAGATTTGGAACTAGAATTTAGAATGAAATACACCTGTGTTTAAGTTTACAAGCCTAGTTACAGTTCTACTTTAATATTTTCCAGAGAGTTACTAGAATTTAAGGAGAAAGCTGCTTCATAGAATCAATTTTCAACGCTCTGATTTCCAACTCATCATCAAGTATTCAACTCATCCATGCCCAAAAGCTACATGAGCTTTGGGCACAATATGTAATGCAACAACTCCTGATGCACTAACAAAATTAATGCATGCTGACAACACATTAATAACACTCAATGAATTCACTCAAATTAGAAATTCATTTCAGAGCTTTTCAGGGTGTGTTAGTTTGGTGTGGCTAGGGCTGGATTTTGGGGATTTTTGTTTTTTAAATATAGGCTTCTTGAATTGTTAGTTAAAATATTTCAACGAACATTTCATATTCTATGATGTATAAGTGTTGTATTTTAACAACAAACAGAGGGAGCATCTGATGTTATTTCTCCCTTCAAGATTTGGACCACAACTAACAGACATTTTCTAACACAGCCTGACAATAATGTAGACCTCATACGTGGGTAAATCTGTTCCATATTTTTAATCCCAAGATCTGAAAGGCATAAAGATTATTCTCTGATACAGTATAGTATCAATTTAACTGAATGCTAAAGCATTTATACACCTCTCCTGAAAAAATAACCTTACTCCCTTGAAGACATTATAATTGTATCCAAAAGATTTCAGCATTAAAGAAGAGAGCTTAAATATATTTTTTAAAAAGGGAACCTAAGACTGAGTGCAGTTCCAGAACTCACAACAGCTGAGGTGCAGCAGTTTTGCCATGGTTTTCAGGGCCAAGGATGTGAAGACACCCAGTGGATCTACACTGTCGTATAGAAACACAGGCTTCACTTACCACCAATACAAATTGTTCTCTAGTTGAGCACACGTATAAAGAGCACAACAATGCAAAGAAACGATCCGTTCTCCCTGAAGCTCCGAGTACGTCTGTGCAGTGTGTTCTAATTTAGAAGCTACAGAGCTTAAAGTTTCATCTACCCACGTAGCAACCTGAGAAGGGAAGAAAGGAACATGAAAGGTAAGGGGAAAAAAGAAAAAGTTGTACCTTAGTTGCACCTTTAATGCAAATTTACTGGTTTTGAAAGAAAGATGGGGGAAAAAAAACAACAAAAAAATCCAGCCAAACAAACAATTATTCTCTTTGGAATTTCATCCCCTAACATCTTTTCTTTCCCCAGAAAAGAGCTTTTCAAGATTACTTTTTTTGCTCTACTTCCAGTCCCCAACAAAAGCAGGCAAAAAAGGGAGGTATATTACATATACATTACCAAATCAGTTTCAAGTTCACTCTTAACTGGGCAGAAGAGCATATTTAGATAACTTACTTTACAGCACTGTAAAGCTTCAATGCCCTGAGTTTTTCTAGTAAATACATACAGAACATTAATAAGCTTCTCTTTTCCTAAACTAGTGTCAGTTTTCACTGTATTGGTAGAGTCAAGTATTTCAGATAATCTGGTAAAACAGGTGTCTTCTCACTGCTCCAGCTGTAAATCTGTCAGATCTTTTTGGGTTTTTTAATTTTTCTTGCATTTTTACAAAATACTGGTTTTGTAAAACTGTGGTTTTGCTTTGCTTTTACATCTGTACAGAGGAAAAGAAGTGGAATGAACATACAAGTTAAGTGCTTTCTACTACTGATAAACCTGAAGAATCAAGCTCTCTAGTCTCTTTCTAGTGCAAGTCACTGAAAAAAATCCAGCATTGTCAAATTCAGCAACCAGCACACATCTCCTACCTTGTTATTCTCAGTGGCAACAGTCGCTCTAATACTATTTGCAGAAAGAAGCACTATTTTTTCATTGGTTAATCCCAAGAACATGGCTCGTGGATGATGTAGTGAAGGATTCTTTGGAAACAAACAAAAAATAATTTTAGATAATCAAAGCATTTAGATAATCAAATCATTCGGAAAGTAAGCATTTAAAGAGGTATGGTACCTGTGCATTTCTGTAAGGCTCTGATTCACTCCACTTCCACTGATAGAGTTCTCCCTTGCTGCTAACAGCCACGAGCTCAGAATATAGAGCTCCGATAGAAATAAACTTTGTTCCATCCTACAAATAGAGAAATATGAAGTCTAGAACAGCAATATTACAAATATATATAGATATATAAAAATATATAAATGCAAAAAAAAAAGAACTTAAGGGTTTTTTTCAGAGGCCCTATGAATGTTGTACTTGAAAATAAAGAAATATTCAGCTTGTCTCAAGCTCCACATGCCCTCAAACACACATACACACAAAAAAAAACATTATTGCTTCTGACAGAATGAGGGAAGAAATAAACAGATACCATTTTCCTGAAGTTTAGCAATAACATATACACAGCAATTAACTTGGACAGTTTATTAAGGGCTTCCACAATATTTTAGGAACACAACACTACCCAGAGAATTAAAGACAGAAGGTCACTTGACTTCTGGTATTTAATAAAAACAAAACAACAAAAATGTTTCCTTCTAAAATTCTGGCTTTTTGAAATGAGAAAAAAAGCAACATAATCCCATTATGACATTCCTAAGTATATTCATGAAGCTACCTTCCAACTACTTGAGAAATCAATTATCAAATCCACAGCCCCATCAACTAAACGATTATTTTCCACTTCTGAAGGTAAGTAACTGGGGACTGACCTGCTGGAGAGCAGTGTAGGAGAAAGGGACCTGGGTGTTCTAGTGGACAGCAGGATGCCCATGAGCCAGCCATGTGCCCTCGTGGCCAAGAAGGCCAATGGCATCCTGGGGTGTATTAGAAGAGGGGTGGCTAGTAGGTCGAGGGAGGTCCTCCTGCCCCTCTACTCTGCCCTGGAGAGGCCACATCTGGAATATTGTGTCCAGTTCTGGACCCCTCAGCTCAAGAGAGACAGGGAACTGCTTGAGAGAGTCCAGCACAGAGCCACAGAGATGCTGAAGGGAGTGGAACATCTCCCTTATGAGGAAAGGCTGAAGGAGCTGGGTCTCTTTAGCTTGGAGAAGAGGAGACTGAGAGGTGATCCCATAAATGTTTATAAATACATCAAGGGGGAGTGTCAGGAGGACGGAGCCAGGCTCTTCTCTGTAATGTCCAATGACAGGACAAGGGGCAATGGGTACAAGCTGGAACACAGGAAGTTCCACAAAAACATTAGAAAAAGCTTTTTCACTGTGAGGGTGACAGAGCACTGGCACAGGCTGCCCAGGGAGGTTGTGGAGTCTCCTTCTCTGGAGACATTCAAAACCCGCCTGGACGCGTTCCTGTGTGACCTACTGTAGGTGATCCTGCTCTGGCAGGGGAGCTGGACTAGATGATCTTTTGAGGTCCCTTCCAACCCCCTAACATTCTGTGATTCTATGAACCGCAAACAAAATGAAGTTTAACAAAAATCTTTAAAAAAAAAAAATCAATCTGCTACATGTCACATGAATGCATCACTATCACCTGATATGCTAATCATGAGTTATCTTCCTCCTCTACCACCTTCTCCTTTTTAACCTTTTACCAAAATTCACTTGGCATCTCTCTACTACTTCGATAACATCACTTTGCTCAACTGCTTCATCCTGTAGAGTACCCACATTTCAGGGGCCTGTTCCCCGCTCCTCTGAGATGTGATTGTGTATCAATGTTGCAGCAACTATGTAACAATTACAATCTCACTTTCTCTAAGTTCCTGTTCTCCCTTGCATTGAAACCAATCTCAAAGAACAGACCTACAAACTGGAGTGATTTCACTGTTTACTGAGAAAGTAAACTGCAAGGCCTATCCATTCCAAGGGCAGCTGTAGGACACCCAACACAACTTTTTTACTGGTAATCACTAGAATTTCCCTTCCGCTTAAGGGAGAACACAGTTTTTTAAAAAATAAAAAAAACCCTTAAACTAGTATAAAATCATGTGCTGTCTTCTACAGCAAATCTGAAAGACAGGTACGTGAAAATCAGGATCTTTAGCAGCCTTTATTAGATCACAATATACCTCATTTAACCATCTGATGGGAAACTGAACTCTCGGTCAGATCGTTTTTAAAAAAAAACAACAAAAAAAACAAACGCCAAACCACCACCCAGTACATTTATCTGTCCCCTAAGCTAAGAGACTTTTGTTTCAGTTACAGAAGTTTACAAGTGGAAACACCAAGTTCCATAAATTTGGATTCACACTGCCTTTCATGCCCAGAAGTGCACATTTCAAAAGATGTGTGTCTGTGAATAACAGGGGATTTGGTACATCTCTTACCAAGAGCTCAAAATGTTTACCAATATTTTGGGAAAGAAGAGAAAGTAGGCAGCAGGAAAAGACAGAAGCAATTCCAAGCAATTCTCTTTTATACTCTGATAATAGGATCTAAAATTAGTTAAATCATAAGAGAATTATTTTGTGCTGGAGGGCATCTACCAACACAGCACAGAAGTAGCACGAATGCTAATCTGTGTCATGATTAATACCTGCCATTATATAAATACTGCATATTTTCAGAAAGAATTGCTGTGAGAACCTATTGTAGCCTAATGAGATGCATCTCAACCTCGCCAGCATAAATCAATCTTCAGAATTTATCTGGCCTAATGCCTCAAAGTTAAGTATGGAAAGCAATTATTTTTGCTTGAAGACACTATCATACTTTTCATCTTGCTAATGTGTTTTACAACTTTTTATAAACAAATAGTTCTATACCGCAAGCCCAACACTAAAGAGACCTGCCAGTCAACATTTTTTTCCCTTCCATCAAAACACCAGCAGCCTGGATCATCCAAACTGTCAGAACCAACGCTACAGACACCTCTGTGGCCACTCAAGAGACTAACAGCCTAAAGGTGCACAAATGACACGACAGTTCTGGTCCTGGAACCAGAGCCTTACATGTTAAGCTATAAAATTCTGACTTCAGGGCTAAGAAATTACATACTTGAAGAATGCAGACAGAGGAATCGCAGACAGAATTTTTATCTCAGTAGGCAAACAGAATACACCTACGTGAGTGAACTAAAGGCTCAGCTTGCATCCACCTACAGTCCGGCAGGAAAAAAACTGACTGGAGTTGTCATACTATAGAGTGGCTCCGATACGCGTGGCACAACACCAACGCATGGCTGTGCAGACTGACAGGACTACAGTCTAACAAATCCAAAGAATTCATTCATTGGCTTGAATCCTTGAGCGGTTGATTTAATTTAACTGGTGGAGAAATCTCAGTATCTATGCAACATGTCTCAACGGTCTCAGGTTATGGATGAAATTGATGCACTTGGGAAGACTATCTAAAAGCTTTCTAAAAGTTTTATCTATTCCTCTGAGGCTGGTTCTTTATCTCCCATAAACACAAGTTAACTGTCCTCATCATGGACTAACAGTTTTTTTCTCCAATGCTAAATGTCAAAATAATGAAAGATGAAGGGAAAACATTTGCAAACAAAATTGGTTATTTTGTACCAACTCCTCACAAACTTTAACTTCTCCCCTAGCTTGCTGTCTTTTCCATTAATATTTCAAGATCTCTTTTACAATTTTCAAAACAGAGGAAACATCTGAACCGGCCTCTCAGCTAAATCACCTCCCTCAGGATTTACCTTGAAGAATTTCTGTTGGAAAATACCACAAACAAAACTCCAGAGGGTGGCTATAGCAAGAGAGGTGCAGAACAACTTAACAATGTTCTGCTGAAGCATAGGATGAAAAGTTCAACAACTATTGGATAAAGATGAAAAGCTTTTCCACTAAGCTACATTCATTTAACTGGAATCTAGGTTTTATGTGAATGCATATGCAAACAGATATCTTGGAAAAAGTTCAGTATATTTAAATTGAACAAGCACGCAATTAGGGATCACAGCAAGTTAATTCCATAAAAAATGCCAAATAAAAGACTGCAATAATTGTCCTAGGGCAGGATCTGAGAAGAACAGGGTTAACAACAGTAGTAAAAGAACCAGAACAAAAACCACAACAGCAATAATGGCTACAATAAAGTTACCAAAACTTTGCAGTGGGAATAAAAAGTTCTAAGTTATTATTCCAAATCCAAACTATGTTTATTCTGTGATGCTAACTCCCCCCTAAAAACTCACTCTTCCCAAGCTAGATGACTCTCTCATTCTAACCATCATGACAAAGCAAAGGGGACTAGTACTGCAAATTTTCACTGACACACAAGTTCAACATTACTTAAGACATAAAAAATCTGGTTGGAACAGCAATTATTAGATCAATATTCTTCATATCTATATTTAGCCTGAAAGGAAAAAAACTAGATATCAAAAAAGAGAGTGTGACATATCAAAATAGCAATGTCACACATACTGTAGAAAGACAGAAATGGGAACACTAAGAAGACACCCCAATTCCATAAAATTTGGTATAATAAATATAGATCATGACTTTCATTTCTGAGAAGGTTTTTTTGTTGGTTGGTTCGTTGGTTGGTTTAGTTTTTCAAGTCATTTCTCCAAGCATCTAGGTAACTCATAAAGAAAATGACTACAAGATATCCAATCAGGCAGATACAGTTAGCTTTCCTACTATTATATCTCACGTCGGAATTATTTCTTGCCTTGGAAATGGAATTACGGTTACAAAGAAAAACTGCTCATCAGTTCTAGAGGATTCTGAAGGAGCAACAAATACTCATTTAAGTTACTCGCAAGCTCAAAACACAACTGCTAATAAATGTCAGCTTTCACCATTGCTGCCTAGAAGTCCAATCCACTCAAACTGAAAGCATCTCTGGGAATAATAATGCTACTCAAAAAAAAGGTTCCTTTGATGGAGGATAGGCAATAGGAAACTCATGAAACAATCTGAACTATCAAACGCTTTGAGCATCTAAGTAAAAAAAAGAAGAAAAAAGAAAAAACCCAAATCTTATGATCTACAGTAGTGCCTTAACAACAAGAAAATTAAAACAGTAATAACAGAAGCGCAGCTATAAGGGTGGAACTAGTTGGTTATAATTTTCCTAAGTGTATAATAAAGAATATGCTTTATTCCATTATTTCACATACCCTGAGATGTGATGTTCAAAAAGGAAATACAGATCTACTGTGTAGCATGCAAATATAATAGTAAAAAAAAAATGTCAGTACCTTATCTGGCCACCACTGCAAGTCTTCTCCTAAAGAAACAGGACTTTGAACAGGTGTATTCTTCTTGTCCAGGTTTGGTTCCCCCTCCTTACTTGTAGAGCCTCTTTCATTATCAAATGAGGCTCCATCAAGCCACCTTCGTTCACGCAAACGTAAAACGGACTCACGTTCACGCAACAGCTCAGAGTCTCTCTCTAAGGGAAGAAGGAGAACTGGTATGCAATTGGGTCACACCAGTGGGATAAAAGTAAGCCACTCTCTAGTAAAGACCCTTCAGGATGCAACTAACAGCAGTTAAATCTACTCACACAGATTAAAAATAAAGTCCTGACATGCAACATTCAATATATTAACCCTTTCAAGCATATGTACTTTAGAAATACTAAATGTAAAAGTAAGCTAGAAATAAAGAAGTCTTGCAGTTTTGTGCACTGTTAAAAAAAATGTGAAATCATTTGCACATCAGAAGAGGCCAAATACATTTAACATTGCAATTTAAAGTTTTATAGTACAATTAGGCAGAGTTTTGTAGTATTGTTTTATCAATCAAGTAACAACAGCACCCAAAAAAACCCATCTAGGTCTATATAGTTTGCTAGGCAACTTTATGCAAACCAAAAAAGAGTATTTATTAGAGAGTTTTGTAACAAGTTTCCCAGAAAAAACCCAGTACTTTGAAAAGGTTAAAGAAAGCAAGCATTAAAAAAAAGCTCTCGTACATGTTTGATAATCCAACCCCTTTTGTTTAAAGCAATGTTTCATAGGACTGGATTTAACAAATTAAAGTGTATCTGTTTTGAGTAGACCAAATGAAAACTTTTCAAGTCAGACAAGTTTTAAAAGGATCCTTGTAGGAAAATGTTCCTTACCAAAATGCTTCCCCTCCAATTGGCCTACAAACTGTCTAAAGCCAGTACTCTGCAGTTCGCTCATGCAGATAAATTTTTTAAATCAGGTAATCAAACTAACTTTCCAAGAGTCAACTATGCATGGAAAATAAGGATTATAAAATTCGTGGTAACGTCTTATATAGAATAACCTTAGGAAAGGAAAAAAAAGGAGGAATTTAGAAGGAGTTAAGTCAGATGCTGAATATTTGTACATGCACATAATGCATTTAATCTATTAAGTACTTTACTTATGCTCACAAAAATCTACTGCAATTACACGTATGAGATGACCACATTATTATATCAACTCCAAGTCTTGGGGTTTTTGCTGTATTAGACAAATGGGAAAAGTTTTTACATAAGCCAAACACGACAGCTTGTCTTACAGATATAGTTCATAAAGTACCGATTTTCTAGCAAACATCACATTGATCCCTGACTAATAATTTTGTAACAGGAACTTACATGTTCAGCAATTAATACACTAAAACATGCTCATGGAAGGCAACAAAACTATACTAAGCAAACAATCGCAGCAGAGGTTGGATTAACAGTTAGGAAATACTCTAGGCATTTGCACAACAGGTTCAAAAAGATAAGAAATTGCTGCATGGTCTGTTATAAATCTTTTTTAGTGTAATACACTTTAAGATAAAAGAAAAAAAAAAAAGCAAATAAAAACCCACAGTAAAATGCCTTAACACTGCTCCAGGAGCTTTTTATCACCTGTCAATAGCTCTCCTTAACCAACTACAAAAATGCTTCCAAAAAGTATCATTTGGATTTCTTCTCCCTCCTTAGTATCTAAAGTTCCTCATGCCACAAAGGTAACTTCTGCCATGGAACAACAGAGGAAATGAAGAGCAGCAAACGAAAAGCAACCCAAAAGAAAGAATATAGGAAGAAAAAAAAAAAAAGGGATGGGGGGAAGAGTAAGAATGCTGCATGTCATCAATCGTTACTCATTTCTGAGCCAAATTAAGTATCTGTAATGCAATCTATGTATTAGTAGGTACTTACACTATAGTTTAAATAAACTTAACATGCAAAAATTTTATAACACCTTGCAACACCAATGATCGACAATTAGATTTAAAATTAATTACTATCAAGGTTCTTGCAGAACTTACCTGCTAATATTCCGAATTCATTAATAATTTTGATAATGAGTAACAGTCTATTTGTCTACTCTACATATATTTAGAACATATCACAGTCTACTTTCACATTAAAACAGAATCTAAACCACCAGTGTGTACTATCACTAGCTTTTTTTCCACAGCAAACTACTTATTACAAAGAAAAAAGGTGCAAAATTACCTCTGGATGAGCCTAGCCTGGAAAGTGATGAGCGCCGAAAGGATGGATAACCAAAGTAACTAATATCTTCTGAAAACATAGCATCAGCATCAATAATGACACTTGGGTGAGCAGAATGTATGTCAGCATCCAGAAGAGACATAAGATCCTCTATAAGAGGAGACAAGGGTCTTAAGTGAATAATCAGCTACTTAAAACATCAGCTAGAGAGACCATCAACTAAACAAATATCGAAACAAACAAAAAAAAATCCTATCTATTAGTTGAATTTCTGCTCTTCAGATTCACCAGTGCAAACTCATGTGCCTCCTATGCAACCACATTTACAGTCAAGCTTGGTGGGCTAGTGAACAAAACTAGTTCCCCTACAAGAACCGCTCTGTCACTTATCTAACCACAGTGCCCAAACCACATTTTTCTGTAACCCAGAAATTCAGACTTCACCCTGTCACTTGAAAGAACAAAGCACTCTTTGGGTAAGATGGATACACACACATACATGTGCTCACACACTCATGCATGTAACGCAGAACTCCAAAGATGACCTGAAATTAAGGGAGGGCAGAACTGACGGTGAAAGCTGGCCTTCATGAAGCCACATCTTGGATGACAAAGGCTGTACGCTCCTCCATGGAACATCTGCTTCAGAGAATGACGTACTTCCTTAATTCACAAGCTAATAGCTTGCAGCTCTCAGTACAAAGCTTTAAATGGTAGCTACATTAAGAACCACATCAGTTTTCTGGAAAAAGCACCAATTTTTAATGTCATGCAGTTAAAAGGAAAAAAAAAAACACCATCAAAAAAGCCAGACAACCAAAACCAAAAATACGAACTTAAATACTATGACTGTCCTGGCTTCTATGTTAGAAAACTTGAGTTTCTCTGAAGTACTGGTAACCCTTAATGTAAAAAACAATTTCCTCCCATTTACTAAACTATAGCTACTATCCACACACAAGGGAGGCTACTGAAAAATTGTGTAATCATTACTGAAGCCCAGCAATATGGTCTGACAAAACAACTCAAGCCAACTACCACCTTGCTGCTACAGGAACGATAGTCTTACTTCTCACCGTCATCCCTGTGGCAGGTGCCTCCTTGGGGCAGGGTGGGATTTTTACACCTACAACTAGCACATTTACTGCCTTAAAATAGTACTTCATGGGGTACTGAAGTAAGGTGGGAAGAAATCTTCAGCCTGACCCAGTGGTAGTCAGAGGTGGTGCCTCACCACAGGCAGTAAAGCTGCCTGGACCCTACTGCTGCCGAAGGAGACAGTTCTACCCCTTCCCAACCTTTCAAGCAAATCTAACAAGAGTCATGCTCCCCAAATTAGGTTTCAGCTAATCCACGCAGGCACACAAATCTCACCACTATACAAGGGATAGCTCCTTCTGGCAGAATAACCTCAAATCTGCTCAAACCTCCTGTGAAGCTAACATGAGGCCGTATCAGTCCTTTCAGGAAACACAGAAGGAGCACATATAATTTCAATGCATCCAGTTCTCAGCCTCTACCTCATTGTAAGGATAAAACAAAACAGTGGCTAGAAACCAAGGTCTGAAGTTAAATCAGAGCATTCTTAACAGTAGAAATTTATTACTATGGGTCTTTTTCATCAGTGTCTGGAATGAAGGGGAATGGCGAAGAACACAAAGGAGACGGTATCCAAAAACTGAAAAGGAACTAGAAGTCCACACTTACAGTCAATATTAAATCACTTAACTGTTCCACTTACTGATTTGAAAGTGTTCAAGACTTTCACATGCCTGCACTTCAGAATATTCATCATTCATTTTCTAAACTTCCACCTCCAGGAAATGTAACATGTACCAACCAGGACCAGCGCCCCAGAAAAACAGCGCTGTAACAAGCGAGTATTGTGGATTTCAAAGCAAGCAAGACCTGCGTGAATGCTTTTTGCATTAAATAAGCGATCCACTCCAGTGTCCTCTGTACTTCTAAAAGCACACCATTTGTGACTCAATGGTTCATGCAGTACATTTTAGGAAGTCACATTTGAGGCACTGCTTGGAAAGTCTAGTCAAAATATTAGGATTTGGCAAGCAGGCTCTGTCTTACTGAAACACTTCAGATCACTTAAGGGTGGCATTCCTTGCCTGCTACTTTATTCATTTCCCAGTGGCTTTCCCCAACAGTAAAGCAGCAGTACCCCTCACCTTAAGGGTGTCAACTTCTAAGCACTAGACTTTAAGAACTGGAAACACAGATGAGGCTGTTTTCTCTCCCAATACTCACATGCTGCTCCTCTTCCTTCCTCCCACACTCATCAGGCCCATCTCCTCCTAGGTAAGCTCCAACTTCTCTTCAGTTTAGCAACTTACAATCTTTCTTTTGTCACTATCCAGCCGAAAATTGCAAAAAACTTTGATCTCTTTTTAGGAACAGGATTGGCCAGTATACAAAAGAGCTTTCCAGCCCCATTCAGTACAGACAATATATGGGGTTTTTTTAATGGTAAGCTAAGCCACAAGTCCCCTTGACAGAAAATACATGCTAACTTGTGACACACACACACTCCTTCCATCAAGCCATCAGAACCAAAACTTTGTGGGTTTTTAAGAAGAGTTAAGAAATAAAGCCTTTTCTTATCCTCTCATTTCAGCTTCAAAACAGATTTTAATTTTCTTCCAGTATTTCTGCAAGAGATTCCCCTTTCATTTTCTGTACCAGCAAACAAAGGTGCTAAAAATCAGTAGGGATAGAGGCCAAACCCACTCCCCTTCATACACCACTGGAATTTTTTTAGTGCTGTGAAAACAGAGATACTGAAAGGCTACATCAGTTTAAGAATCCAGGGGAAAAAACAATCTCTACGACTTTATTTTCCTGCTCTTCAAAAAAACCCCCGTGGGATGGTATCATTCATCTCTCATGCCACGTCAGACCAAATCAGACTTTTCCTTCCATATTTAGATGTGATTATTTTCTCATCAACCTACTTTGGTAAGGAAGTACCTATGATTCACTAGTAAATACCAATGAAAATCAGAAGGGAAGGGATATCTAGTGCAGAGGAAAGAAAAAAAAAAACATTCAGTGTGCACATAAGCAGCAATTCAAGTATTGAGAAATGTTTTTCTGAACTAGCTCCAAGCATAGCATTATCACCAGATTCATTAACTGAAGGTGTTGCCTAGATGGATTGCAATCTTAAATTTGGCTTGCGGTAAACCTTTTCCCTTAAGGGAGTAACCATAAGTTCTCTCCCCTCTTCTCAGCTGCATATTTTTATAAAATGTTCAAGAACTCAATGTCTTCAGTATCTCCTTCTCTTTCAACTTTGGATTAAATCGGCAAAACTGTGACAGCAAAGGGAGAGAAACATTCATTTCTGTTTCCTAGGAAACCGGACTCAAACAGAACTCCAAAACTTCTTGATAAATTTATTCAAAGCATTATCCATCTTGAAGTTCATCTTACATTTGAAAACAAAAAAAAAAAACCCCACCATCCAAAACCACAACAACAAAGAAAACCAAACTACACAAAGAAAACCACAGAAAAAAATACATCTAATTGTTTTCCCCAAAGGCAAGCCACTGAACTGATCCTACACTACGTTCCAGACCCCATCTCGTCTCCCTGCGAGCCAGTACAGTATGCAATACCAGCCCAACTTTAAAAAAAAAATTTAAAAAATATGGATTTTTAAACAAGCTCATCTCAATTTCAAAATCCAGAGTAGTCCCGATGTTGCGAACCTACATTTCACAAGTCTCACTAGCGAGAACTGACTATATCATGCAGAAGTTACTCAAACATGCACACATCTCAACTATGCAAACAATAAAATACTTTAACTTCTACAGAATCTCTATACAGCATATTAACAGAATATGAAGTCCAGAAGATACAATCTAGCTTGAAAATTAATCCAGAGATCTTCAAGTCTTTCCTTCGCTAAATGATCTTGTTCTAGGTAGTTTTTACCTTGATTACTTTCCTTAAGTACTTGCTATGCATCAAATGACCCCATATGCCTTTCTGCTATCATAAAACAAAAGAAATAGGTCTAGATTAGAGATGTCAAAATCAAAGTACATAAGGGTCCAAAGATAAACATCCAAGAAGCACTTATTGAAGGCAATCTGTACAGAAGACTGAAGTTCCGCTCTTCACTTAAGACATTTAGAAGAATTCAGTAAGAACTGAGACATGGGTTTTTGTTATCTTAGAAAACTTCAGATGCATAACCTGTACAATACTAACTGGAACCTTCACAACCGATATATTAATGAAATTAGAATGTACTGAACAACTATATATTAATTTCATGGTGGTTGAAAAGTATCTTAGCTTTTTTTGTTACTTCATTTTTTAAATCAAGTCTAGATTGCTCTTAGTGTTTTAAAATAAGCTTCTGTATCTTGGAAGGCTTAGAGGAGTAACCTCTAAGTTTAAGGGTCACAAAGCACCAGACATGCAGAAGGGAGAAAGTAACAATTAGCATGTGCTTTTAATCAAAATGCAAGAGCCTCAAAAGTCCTGAAGCAAAAAGCAGACGTCATTTGCACTTTTTTTGTGCTTAGAAGGAACAAAATTGAAAAGTTTTAAAGAGTAATTTGACACAATTTTTAAAACGAAAAAAGTAGAAGTACTTTATCTTTCAGAATAATTTATGAAAACCCGGATAAGAACTGAATGCATGTAGCACTTATCAGTTATCTACATGCTTTCTTTTATGAACTGATGTTATAGTTCCAAAAGAGCATCAAGAGGCAAGATGGCAAGGGAGAGCAAGAAGAGTGTAAAGTTTCTAGAGCAAAGACTTAAAAAAGGTTGTGTAGTTCTGAAGGACAGAATGGTGGTATTTTTCCAGAGTTACAAAGCAAGTTTTTCTGGCCATCAGGTTTTCCTGAAAACTAGTCAGCATGGTTATGTGACACAAGGAAGGACTAGCATTTGTACTATTTAGTGTACCAGCAGTAGAGTCATGACAGCACTGACTAGCATTCAGCTAGACTTTTCCTACTGTTTTGATCACATTCAGATATCAAATTAATTCATTTCTGTGCAACAAACTTACTTTTGCCCAAAAAACTGAAGTAACTTATGACAGACAGAGAAGGCATAGCATGTTTTACAATTGCAAATTACATCTTTCCAGACTAGAGTCAAGACATAGCACATGTCATTTCGTTGTCATTTCTGCCTCTTTTCCCACAAGGACTGGGGAAGAATTAGCCCAGTTTCTCTGCAGGGCAAAAGAAAAAAAGGAAAAAAACCCACTAATATACAGAGGTTGCAATCCCTTATAGGGAAGATTAGTCTAAACAGCGAGGAAGCTTTGAAAATTAAGACAAGGACAAAATTGTTCTCTGGACAGTTAGTGAGGACAGTGAAACTGCATATTACGTTAATCTATCAAAACACTCAGAGAGTGTGGCCCAGTAAAAGTTGTCATACTATAGGTTGACCAATCATAGGTTGTCAGACTATTACAGATCTTTATGATCTCAAGAGGTACTAAGAGAGTAGCAGTACAGAATGCTGCAGAAGGCTGGTTAGTATGGTTAAAAGGAACTCCTGCTGTCAGTGATTCCTAACAGTGGTTTATCCTCCAAAGGCTGGTCCTGGAGGAATGTACTCAGGTATGCTTAGAGTAAGAACTCCTGCTTTGAAAACTTGGAAAGGTAGGAGAATTTTCTTCCTCCAGTGCATCTGTCTAATGTTATTAATCTCATCACTAAAAACCAAAACTCAAATTAAAAGGTTTTTCACCCCTTTCACTAGATGATTCTTAATCTGCAGCAAAATAAAAGAAGCTGGACAGATGCAACTAAAACTGGAAGAGGCAAAATGAAATACAAAGCCTTTGCTGCAGAACAAAAAAAAACCAAAAAACCAAAACCTTTGTCTAATCACACGGTTGACAAGATAAAGATGGAGGAAGCCCATGAACCTTCCTGGTGAACCAGATGAGCAGAAAAAAACAAAAACCCAACCTTTTTTTAGAAAATTATCAAAATGTCATTTTGACACACAGAAAGAAAAGCCAATATGTAGTCAGAATTTAGATGTGCTCTTTTCATGCAGTGCACCTAACAAACATTAGATTTGGCTGCTGTGTTTTCAAACATGTTTACTCAGCAAGAAAAGATAACCTAAATTATTTAGTCACTGCAAAAGACAACTCAAAATCTTATAAAAAGCAATTGTATGTGACAGACAATATTTGAAAAATATCTGGATTTAAATTACAGCATTTTACCAGTACAGCCAGAATACTACAGTATTTATGAGGAGAACTTGAGATAAAGAATCAATTCTCAGTCTAACTGTAACTACGGTACGGTGTTTTGCCTGCACTTTAGGCATTTTGATTTAAAAAAGCTGTACAATTTTTGCTCTAAAAACTGCTGTAGCTTAAGAATCTATGTTAGTAGCAGAACACATGCAAGTCACTAGAAGGTTTTAGAATTAGGTTTTATGAGCAAGCCACACAGCAGTCTCAGCATCTTGTTGAGCAGCAAAATACAGATGTTAAGTAACGCTGATGTTATAAAGCCCGGGATCCTAAAGAAAATTACTTTCATGCCACCCACAAACAGAGTCAATAGTTACTCTTCAGTGCCTAACCTAATCCTTCAAGACACCCCAGTGCATCTTTTGTTTTGCACATCTTTAGATTTTGCTCCTATAAGCAAGAACTGTCTTCGATGCATACCTTGCACAGCATGGAGCATGCTGTCAGTGCTTAAATACACAGAAATAAGAACACACTGGCATTTTCTTAACAGAAGTTGCAGGATACTAACCTCCAGGAAGATATGATTCACTTGCTGTGTCATCACCATCATCTCCATCTTCATCATCACGACTCAACAAATTATTTACAGCAAGGTTTACATCCAGATTTGTTCGTTGGAGTTCCCGAATAATAATACTTCTGGACTTCCCTTGTAAAACAACTTGTGCCTGTAAGAGTAGAGCATAATTGGTTACTGGTCATTTGCACCTCACCAACCACCACTCCTAAGAAAAGGATGATTAATTCTAAAAGACGTCTAAAAAAAACCCAAAAGTCAAAGTATATACAGATGAAGGCTCACAGGTTTTGCATGGTACCTTGTACTAGATAGTAAATCTTCTCTCAGTTGAAATTAAGCCTATGAATTACAAATTTGGTGCTGAATTTCCTAATGGAATCGACTTCTTGAAATGCTTAATCCTGTAGTTAAAGGATTAGCAAAATCTATTTCCAAGAATGTTCTATATAAAAGTGTTTAAACTTACTATGTCAATGAGGAGAGTTTTGCAACCAACTGTTCCAAAACTACACCTCATCCCTTGTCTTTTTGATACTCATTTCTCTTTTCACTGCCCTTAGTTACCATCTTCCTTTCTCTGTTTTTCTCATCATTCTGTTTCTAAAGGCTTATCTTCAGCAACTTCTTCAATATTTAGATTTTTATTAGCAAAGTGCCAATGCAGAAAAAAATATACTTCTAAATATTAAACAGATGCAATGAATTTACAAAAGCCAGAAGAATTCTGGTCTATTCCACTAAACCCAGGATATAAGAGCATTTCGTTTTTCCAGACAGACTACCCTCTACGGAATGCCAGAGAAGATGACAGAGTTCTGGAAGACCACAAACTCTGTGAAGAAGGTAAGAAACCAGTACTAAATGTTTTCATAACACAGTAAAAATGAGGCACCAAACAAAGGACATTTTAACAACATACAAAGGCAGGCTTTTTGTCGTAACATTCTAAGCCAGAAGTTTAAAGGTTTTCAAGACATGGTAGAACTTTTGTTACACAGACCAGCTGTGAAGATTTTTACCTACTGGTCTGCTCTAGAGTTACTCCAAAAATGTTTTAGACACCTTCTGACTTAAAGGTAGACAAAACTTTTTTCTTTTTTTTTTAAAAAAAAACCAAACAAAATATCACAGAAAGGGAAGCACAATTAGGACTTAATCAACAAGCCATACATTAGATCACAGAATGGAACTGTCTGGATCAAGGGATATTAGACTATTTTTCTATTCCACATAAGGTATCGAGGATGTCAGTAAATACTCTCAAAAAGACCTGGAGGTGATCAATGAAGTCAAAAAAACCTCAAGTGCTCCACAGTTGCAAGAGATCACTGGAGGTCATCTAACCAAACCACCTCCTTGAAGTAGGGCTAACCAGAGTAACCAATATCTCCAGCATCTTGCCTCTGTGAAGGCAGAGCTTTTACTGGGTTTTGAAGTCAAAAAGAGAAAGGAACAAGAAACCAGTCTGTCACTGGTGGAGCTGCAAGTACCTTGCTCGCTAGTTTTTATCTTGTGCCAGTGAAGGCTTAGATTATCTTTGGCCTAGCAACTGTATTCCAAATGTAGACCAGCAACTTGCTTTGAAATAAGAATTAAAATGCATTAACTAGTCACATATTTTGAAGGTATTATATTCTTCATGGAGAAGAACATTGTTTTAGTAAATTCCATTTAATCACAAAACACAAAGGCTGTCAGCTTATTTATGCTTTAGTGCATTAGGAGACAACAGCAGAGCAATTTATACCCAACATTCATCAGTTACATTCACAAAAAATTAAGTAGAGGTGTCCATGGAAAAAAAAAAAAAAGTTACTACTATTCTAAAGAGACTAAATATGTTTAATTTCTTTCATTTAAATCTAAAAGGGATCCTCCTCAGAACAAACGCACTACTATTACAACACATTCCTGTTGACACGCTATGAGAAGCTCCACAAGTCTTTGGCCACAAGCAGTTTCTAGCTCTTCTACCTGTGAAATGAGTTCCTCTGGAATGACTGATGCTGGAATCACGGGTTGTGGTTGACTCCCCAGCAGTCCAGATCCTCTATCACGGCCTGTGCGTATAACTCTGGTCTGCCTTCGAGAATCTCGAGCTCCAGCAGATGATCTACCAGAAGATCCTCCTCCACTTCCGCCAACCCCAGAACTCCAGCGACTTCTACAAGATTTAGATTATATTTTTTTTATGTATATATAGCAACATACTTTGAGGACTACTTAAAAAAGTCTTTAGTTTTACTGTTAATAACTTGTAGACAGTCTTTGAAAAATATTGCATTTTGACTTCACAGACAAACACTATGAAAGCATCCCTCAAAACCAGTAAGAAGAAGAGCACCAGGCAACTGATAAAGTTCTGAATTACACAGCAGAAACATAAAACTCCTTCTTACTCCTGATTGTGTGGATGTATATATACATAAACACAAGCACCCACCCATTCCCAGAGTTTTTAAAAGCAACAGTATCAGCAGTGTAACATTTTAACACTGAGCTGCTAATTTCCTACGATAAAAAAAAGCACATAAGCAACAGCTTCATGGTCAGTGGAGTCTGACAGGTCACTATACCCTGACAGGTGTTCTCAAATTTCTGAGACTTGATTTACATGAAGAAACTGCTTAAGATTACACTGGAAAAATCAAGTTATCTACTGCAAAACACATCTTACACAAGATAGATTTCTGATTCTCACAGATGGTTTTCAAGAGGTATTATACTCTGGACCTATTCCTATTGGAGAAAGGCAACAACATGCCTAAACTGACCAAACAGATCTTTTTTTCATTTCTCTGAGTCAATATCAAAACAAGGGAGTAAAAAGGCAGTGATCTGTAGAAACACTTAAGTTGCCATCATTATAACTTTCCACTAATCTTAACCCCACAAACTCCGTCAAGTGAATCTGCTCTGAACATAAGACTAGACTGTTAGGGAAAGCTAAAAGACTCTAGGTTTGTTCTTCAAGGCTACCTAAACTTAGTTGTATAAATCTACCTTAAAGGATACTGGATATAGTATTATTGCTATTTAATAATCTGTATCAGTGGAATTTTCCTGCTTTCAACCAGCTTAACCCTCAATCTCCTTTCAAGGAAGTAAAAAAAAACCCAACATTTAAATCGATCCTGCTCTGGCACAGGGGGTTGGACTAGATCTTTCGAGGTCTCTTCCAACCCCTAACATTCTGTGATCCTGCAATGACAAGGGAAAAAGGTATGTTCTCTGAACTAGTACCTAATAAACTCACAACAAAAGTACAGCACATGTAGCTATAAAAGCTACTTAAGTAAGAACACTTGTCTTACATTTTATGGATAAGTTGATTACTAACATCCTACTCTTTCTTCTTGTTGTTTTTTTTTTTTTCCTCCTGAAAAGACCACGTGATTACACAATAACTCAAGTACCTGCCTCAGACAAGGCCCTGTCACAGAGACATCTACATTTTCAGGATTGTAGCCAGAAACCACACAGACAATTACAAGACAAGAAGTAATTCAACAATGGCTTTAGGAAAAGTCTTGTCTCTTGAGTTAGAAAAGGAGTTCTAAACAAAACAAAACAAAAAAAAACCCACCAAAGCCAAAAATTACTGAAAGTGGAAAAAAATCCAAACCAGCAAAGAATGTGATATTTTAAACAAAACAAAATTAATAATCTGTAAAGGTGGGAAGGGGGCTAAGGGGAAATCAAATTATTCCCACACAATTCTCACTTGAACTACCTAGTTCTGAAACACAAAAAGGAAGAAATTAGGAAGTCTTCAAAGTCAGTCTCCTAAGCATGTAGCTTCAAACAATTTTAACCAGTTACTCTCAGGTAAAAATAACAAGGAAAAAAAAAAGTCTTACGCTTTCCACAGCAAGTTTTTAAACATGACTATATCAGTTTGCCTTTAAATTTTAACACTGTGATGTGATTTAATAAAACATGGATTGTTATGTTCATATGCAAAAAGGTTTCACAAAAACTTTGGGGAGGTAAGGGGGTGGGTTATCTTTCATGCAACTAAGCCCTCAGCTCATCTGGTAACAAACAACAAATTCACCTTTGCAGAAAAGCTGTAGTTTCTCCCTTTTAACAAATCATTCACATGTACAAACCACAGTTTGTATATGCAATTCTCCTTCCTAAGGTTAGTAACCTTACGAGGCAGCACTGTTAAACATGTCTTACAAAACTATATAATGGAGTTCACTGTGACCATGTAGTGAAGATTAACTTACATTGCTGTATAAAGGGACACTATCAATTTCAAAGTTCAACTATAAACATACTGAATCTGTACATCTAGTATATAGTAGTACAACTTCAAAGGTTCTGAGCAACAATCTTTTCCAAATGTTCCCTTCCTATTACTGGGTGCAAGACCCTAACTAACAAAACACAGCTCAGTACTTGGGATGGGGGAGAGGAATGCACAATAAAACTGAGCATGCAAAGGTCTACAAACATAGATAGTGAAGATTCTTCCTGCATAAACACACTCATTTTACTTCATGCTGCTAGTCTATCAGGGTTTAAATTGATAGTGTCCCTCAGAAAAAACTGCTTTTCACAATCAAGGAACAAAAAAACATTCAAAAAAAGACAACACAGCCAAATTCTTCACACATATATGAAGAACGCTTCACATCCTAGGTACTGAAAGTTCACTTCGGTATCTGTTATTTTAACCAAGTCAATAAAGTTGGGGTTTTTTATTATACCCTACCTATAAAACTGCTGTAATTACACGTTCCCTTACACACACTGCATACAATTTATATATGTGTATACACATATACTCAAATATGGAACAAACAGATTGCAGCCTCAATCCTATCAAAACTTACCCAAGGGTGTTGCCTGCCAGTCTGCCCAGAGTTTCAGAACCAGACAGAAACCATGGGGAGTCACTAGTCCTGCCTGGCCTGGATGTCCTTCCTGCCCCTGAGCCACTGCTCAACTTTGAACTGTAAGTAAAAGATGGTAAATCAGTCACAAAACAATCCCAAATGGGTTAAGAACAAAACCTGGAATCCCAGGTCTAAATTCTCAGGGACTTAGTCTGGTAACATACCAGCTTAAGCAACACCCTTGGGGAATATTCCAAACTAATCTAACTGTATATTAAGAGGTACACTGCAGAAAGAAAGTGGAAAGCATGCCTACCAGATCTTAAGTATATTCGCAATCCATAATAGCACAGTTGCACATACATATGAAGCCACTCAGCAATTTGAATTAGCCACTGTGCTTTCAGTCAGCGTATATGTACAAATTGTAATCACCAGGCGTTCTACCCATAAACCTGAGCCTGAGCACTTCAATATTAAGAAGTGGTTTACATTCAAATACAAACCATTAAATAGCCCTATTAAGAGGGACTTACCTGGACTGAAGGTGACAGATCTACAGACTAAGTCTCTCTGGATCAGACCACTTTCAGAGTGGATTCTACATGAAGCTTAACAATTTAACAGTTTCTTTCATCAGGATATCTTCTGGAGGGGGTTGTTTCTTGAGTTAAAGAGATCCTGTCTTACTTCTTTTAGAATCACATCTATTTATTCCTACACCAGTCTGACAAGCTAGGCTGTTTGGCTGCATCACCATAACCACTATGTATCTCCTCAAAGTACCCATTTCAAAGGCAATCTAGTTTAAAAACAAACAAAACCAAAAAAGCAGGCAAGCTGCTCATCCGGTTCAAAAGAACAATTTAACATGAAGAAAAGTGGTTCTTACCCATCATTATTATCAGGTTTACCCAATTCCAATCTGTCTGGTTGAACTGAAAAACCAATCCTGCAGACTCTACCATCCTATATTTAAAACAGAAAAACCAAGTGTCCAAAATTGAAATGTAAGACAAGTTACAGAAAAAAAAAAAACAAATGAAAACAAGTCTTCACTTACTGAAAAATGTTGATCAATTTAATGTTAGAAAAAAATAATTTTAAACAGTTTCAAGTTGTTATTTGATCAGATTTAAGTAATTTACCTCAAGAAGAAATGCAGCATGATTTGGTCCCACCACACACTGTTTAATAGTGGCCTGTTCCAATACATTCAAGGGGGGGTGGCTGAAAACAGAAAGTGTACATGCGTAACTTTTAAAAATTTATTTAAACTCTGAAAGTCTGGAAAAAATAAAAAACAAATGACATATGGAAAGAGCAATGTACAGTGACATATAAAAAACATTCAAGAATGACTGTGCATTAGTTGAAGCAAATATGATGGATTTTTGGTCATTAAGCACATAAAAAACAGAACAAATCCTTAAAAGATAATAGTTTTCATTTAGTTTGATCAACAATAAACAGAGGCTATACTTCAAATTAAGGAGTCATTTCAAAGGGAGAGTATTTAATAATATCATATGATATATTTATCATTTATTCATAGAATGGCCTAGGCATAACTGAAAATCTAACATTTTTTTCCAAATGAAAGAATTGCATTACTTGAAACATTTCTAAACTTTACTATTAGTAGTATTGAGGATTTCTACAGCTACATCTACAGTACAGTAATTTGCTTCTTGTTGCTGTTAGAAAAATTGTACTCTCTTGATTTACAGCAGCACGTGAAACCTTACCTGTTTAAATTATATTTGTTCAGCTTCTCTGAAACTTCCCTTAATCTGTAACAAAAAGACATTATGCTATTGTTTGAAAGACATCCTCCACAGGACACAACATTCTCTTAAGTAGCATATTTATGACATTATATGTGGTGGCAAGTTGTTCCTATAATGAAGCCTGTTATAAATCCTTATTATAAAATGTTGAGAGTCTGTGTAAGAACTGGATGATGTTCAACCTAAAATTAGGGTTTTGTTTTGGAGGCTTTTTGCTTTATAGTTTTATCCCCACACCTACTGCCTTGCCACAAAACCCAAGTTTTCTTGCATTTCTATGTGTTTTACACATCATTATCAAAAAGCACTGCTCCAACCTTCTCACCACTATTTACAACTTCACACATAAAATAAGCAGAGGAAACAATGAGCATTAACTGTAGATACACTTGTGTTTCCTCCTATAAACTTGAGTACAATACCCCAAAGCAGACAGGATTATCATTTCCTAGGAAATGCAAGTACGTGGCGCATCAGAGCCAAAAATACGACGGCGAGTTCCCCAAAACAGATAAGACAGGAAATCGGATGCACAAAAGCCAGCATCAAAAGGGACAAACAACTCTGACTAGCAGGAGAAACAACCCAGAGAAAATTCACTATATACAGAGTTATGTAAAACATCATCTTTACTAAAAGGGAAAGAATGTTTCCAGAAGATCTTCCATCTTACTTTCATGGCACCTCACCAAACACAAGATTAGAACCCAAAAATGTGCCAGCCCAGGCAACTCCTGCTTAGAGGGTAGTATGGTATCCAGAAGTGGAAGCCAACAGAGTAATTTCTATGATAATTTCTAATTCACTTTGAAAAGATCCTCTCCAGACAGAAAAGATACTCCTAGGTTATCAGGTAGGCATTTCAGGTAAAACTTGGATACCTTTCTTCCCAAAGATGAAAGGCAATCTAAAATAAGCCCCTAAATAGCTTCCACTTTTAGCTGGAATATTCGCATTATATTAAGATATAAAACTGAGATGCAACCTGTAAAAATAATGCACCGTCATCCTAATTAAGCAAAAAAATCCCAACTTTGGTACCATGACATCCTAGTATTTCACACACCTTCCAAATCCCCAACACCTCTCAACAAAAAGAGGAGAACAGTGCTGGTATGCGTGTCAGTCTGAATCCATGTCTTTAAACCCTTTCTTTATACTTGCTTCACTTCAGTTTCTACACAGAGATTGCTACGGACAACACACTTCAGTTAACTGCAAGCCCTGAGCATGAGAAAGAATACCGATTAGCGGTCCAAACAGCCAACTCTTATCATTATCAACAATGTTTGACTCTAAAGCATTTGTCCTGAGAGAAAAAAGGAGGAAAAAAAAGAAAGAAATATATGTCTGAGAAACAAGATAATTTATACTGATAGAAATAACTTTTAAGCACAAGAAGAAAGGAGCACAGTGAAAAGACAGCAGGAAGGAAGTGAACATGCTTAGAATTGCCTTTTCTTATCCAAGCCAAGCTGCTGGTTTCTAAGTAGGAAATTCCACACTCCCAATTTCCAGCCACAACTACTTCGCACAGGCCACGAGTACATAACAGATAAGGTTTCTGTGAAGAGAAACCACAGAAACACAAACTTCACATGCCATTTCCATGAAAGATACCCCCCACAAGAGTGAACTACTGTGGGAGAACGTGGAATGAACCCCGAAGACGAATGGCATACGCTCCACAGCTCACCAGGGCGTTTTTAAAGCAAGCAGGGATCTGCTGCATAATAGACGTTAAGTATTCCTGAAGCTTCATATCTAAGCATATCGCCTAACAGTTTCCTGCAGGAATCCTGAGCAGTTTTCCATTAATATTTCTTCTCTTGGCAAGCATGAGTAATAATTGTAGAACAGGGAAAGCCTACCTTTACATTCACTGCACCGCCTATATAAAAAGCTGATGGTAAATAAAGCAGCACTTATTGGAGACGCTTACTAGACTAGCCTAAAAGCAATGCTTAAAGCTTCCTTATCTGACGTTTTGTGTCACAAAACCTGTGCACTACCAAAGAGAGATGTTTTTCAATTCATAAAAATGTCATCATAATCCTTTTTTACTTGTAAAACAAATAACGAAGCAATAGGGAAGAAATGTGGAAAGACAGCTACAACTTGCGTTTATTATTAGTAACACCAGTCTCGAGAGTAGGTCTACCTGCAATAAGCATAGGTGAAGAGATCTAATGTTACTGTAAAGAGGCTGCTGTCAACTTTTAAGGGGAAGGAACACAGAACAATATAAGCGATTATACTGAAAGTACTAAACTCTCCTACAGAAAGAAAAAAAAAGAAAAAGCAAGCTATCACCCAACCATGTCCTATGTAACTACTGCAATAGTAGAATTACCAAGTACTGTCCAATAAGCTTAAAGATCCACTAGGACTTGAATTTGACACGAAACACCACTGAGCGAAAAAGATAGTTGCCCAGCACTGTTGGTTTCAAGCCTCACTCCTCCCACTTCCTTGTGCTGCTGTGCTGCATTGGCATGAAAGACAGTCACAAAACTAGACCAGCAGAAAAACAAGAATAAAGCAGAAAGCTGTGCTCGTATATTCTGTGTGGAGAATAAATTTATGCATATAAAAACTAAAAAATTTCAAAAAAACATTTCCCACAGCAATCTAGGTCTTCCTACTCATACAGTTGCACAGTACTGTACTACCAATCCTCCAATGGAAAAAATACCAAATATATATTTAAGATCAGGTTAATTTTAACAACTCAATAATTTCAACTGATGCTGCACTGGAGAAAGGTACAGGCGGAGATATTTAATCAATTCTCGAATTAAGGTCAACACTTCCACTGAGACCTTTCTGTGGTAAAACGAATCTCCAATATCTTGAATAGCCTGGATAGCTTAAGCTTTGAAAAAATCTCATTAAAGACAATTAAACTATTTCAACAGACAAAGGTAAAGCAACATGTATTTTGCTCACGAACAGATTTTTGGGGAAAGGCACTAGCTTGCCACGTTCTCAGACAAAAAGTTTAGTGATGACAGCTCCTGTGTTAAGACACATATTCTTTAAATATCCCTATCAAAATTCATCCAAAAAACAGTGAGGAAAACAAAAGAAATCAGTTTGCCCAAAAACAGCAAGGAAAACAAAATCAGTTTGTATCCAAGTAGGGATTTCTTCCATTTTGAGTTTTGCAGCTGTAACTTCTGGCCTCTCCAAACTCATCAGCGTAGAAGGGAACTATGCCCACACTAAGCAACTGAAGTGGCTTCAGGTCAGGACTAGAGGATCTCTGACTTCACAAGTGACTCATTCATCACAAGATACTACTACTCTCAAAGTACACTTCTATTTCCAGAGAACTTTATCCTTCCACCAGATCTTACTTCTAAAAACAAGTTAGGCTCAAAAATGCCAGAGCATCACAGAGAAACTCCATTTAAAAAATACTAAGTTACAGAAAAACTGGACTTCAGTACATTTTAAAGTAACTTTACCCTGTTTAAAGTAGTGCTCCAATCCAAATCAGCAAAATTCTGGTTTGCAATTTATGTTTATAAGTAGGCAGGCTGTCCCAAGAATTATTATTTTTTTTTAAAAAAAAGACACTACAGACTTATATAATGCATGTTCACTATGCTCAATTCCCCATGGCAGTCCTACCCTGCTGGTCACTCTGCAGGAATATTCATCCTTCTCAAGTATCTCTCTCATGACAGCAACAGTTCACAGACCAACACACAACCCATAAAAAATAAGCAGAACTTCCTTACTGAGAGTCTAGAATAGTTCAGTAAATGGATGCTCATCCTTCTCCTTGTGTTAGGAAACTAAGTAACAAAAACGAAGAAAAAAAAACCCAAACCCACACACCCATACCAACTACACTCAGTGAACATCTGCCAAACCTTCTCCAGGAGGCAAATAACATGAAAAGCATAGTGCACTGTAAATAGAAATATCATGTAGCAAGGTTGATGCAATTTTTCCCTCAAAAATTTACTTGCTGTTGAACAGAAACAGTATTTACAGGTGTCAATATCTAAATTTTGCAGCTTTGGTCAAGTAACAGTACATCTAGCACGTTTATTTTTAAAGTATTAAAATCACTGCTGCCATCTCAGGGTTTAATTTCTGTAATGGTATCAAGAAAGCCTTTTTTTTCCCCCCCCCTTGCAGCTTTAGTCTAAATTTTTAAATGTCAGCTATGTCTTTAAAGAACACACAGTAAAAATCACTGAAGTTAAGCAATCCAAACAAAGGATTTAATCAGAGATGTAAAATAAAATGTCCATATGCTGCATGTCTCCAAAAGGAAGGAAGTCTTTCTGTACTCAGTAAGTAACACTACAGAGTCCCAGACAACAATATTCAGAAGATTGTCTTGGATTTTTCCTGAACTTGCTCCTCTGCAGCCTTAGAAAGTTATTTGCACACTTTAAAGTTAAAATATCAAGCAGGGGGCCCAAAGAGCTTTCCTCACTTCAGCATCACGTGGTGATAGCAAGAGGAGGAAAGGTACATTTAAAAAAAATTTTAAAAAAACCAACAACACTGTGATGAACAAGTAAGAAAAATAAAATCAAACTTCTGAGACTTTTACACCAGAGTCTAAGGAAGTATACAAGAACCGACACAGTGCTTTTCCAAGGGAAGGCTAACAACAAACAGAGGGGGAAGAGAATAACAATAAACAGAAGAGGGAAAAAACCCTCAAACACTAGAATACACTATAGAGCAACATACCTATCAACTCTTAGAAAGTAAATACGACCTTCTTCTCTGTCCCTCAACTGAGACTCTGAATTGCTCTGAGCACAGGGAGCCAAACCCAAAGAAGCCTTTTTGTGGCCAATTAACAGGTTTTAGCCCAGCAGCCTCCAGATCAAAGCCCTCTCACACTTGAATCACTCTCGTCTTGCATCACACGGAAAGGAACTGCTCTGGCTGGCTGTTGGTGTCATGAGAACAGTCTCAGAAATGCAGAAAACCGACACCGATGAGAATCTTAAGCAAATATGTTATCTT